TCTAGTTCAGTTCTAGTTCAGTTCTAGTTCAGTTCTAGTTCAGTTCTAGTTCAGTTCTAGTTCAGTTCTAGTTCAGTTCTAGTCAGTTCAGTTCAGTTCTAGTTCAGTTCTAGTTCAGTTCTAGTTCAGTTCTAGTTCAGTTCTAGTTCAGTTCTAGTTCAGTTCTAGTTCAGTTCTAGTTCAGTTCTAGTTCAGTTCTAGTTCAGTTCTAGTTCAGTTCTAGTTCAGTTCTAGTTCAGTTCTAGTTCAGTTCTAGTTCAGTTCTAGTTCAGTTCTAGTTCAGTTCTAGTTCAGTTATAGTTCAGTTCTAGTTCAGTTCTAGTTCAGTTCTAGTTCAGTTTAGTTCAGTTCTGTCAGTTCTAGTTCAGTTCTAGTTCAGTTCTAGTTCAGTTCTAGTTCAGTTCTAGTTCAGTTCTAGTTCAGTTCTAGTTCAGTTCTAGTTCTAGTTCAGTTATAGTTCAGTTCTAGTTCAGTTCTAGTTCAGTTCTAGTTCAGTTCTAGTTCAGTTCTAGTTCAGTTCTAGTTCAGTTCTAGTTCAGTTCTAGTTCAGTTCTAGTTCAGTTCTAGTTCAGTTCTAGTTCAGTTCTAGTTCAGTTCTAGTTCAGTTCTAGTTCAGTTCTAGTTCAGTTCTAGTTCAGTTCTAGTTCAGTTCTAGTTCAGTTCTAGTTCATTCTAGTTCAGTTCTAGTTCAGTTAGTTCTATCTAGTCTAGTTCTAGTTCAGTTCTAGTTCAGTTCTAGTTCAGTTCTAGTTCAGTTCTAGTTCAGTTCTAGTTCAGTTCTAGTTCAGTTCTAGTTCAGTTCTAGTTCAGTTCTAGTTCAGTTCTAGTTCAGTTCTAGTTCAGTTCTAGTTCAGTTCTAGTTCAGTTAGTTCAGTTTAGTTCAGTTCTAGTTCAGTTCTAGTTCAGTTCTAGTTCAGTTCTAGTTCAGTTCTAGTTCAGTTCTAGTTCAGTTCTAGTTCAGTTCTAGTTCAGTTCTAGTTCAGTTCTAGTTCAGTTCTAGTTCAGTTCTAGTTTCAGTCTAGTCAGTTCTAGTTCAGTTCTAGTTCAGTTCTAGTTCAGTTAGTTCAGTTCTAGTTCAGGTTCTAGTTCAGTTCTAGTTCAGTTCTAGTTCAGTTTCTAGTTCAGTTTAGTCAGTTCTAGTTCAGTTCTAGTTCAGTTCTAGTTCAGTGTCTAGTTCAGTTCTAGTTCAGTTCTAGTTCAGTTCTAGTTCAGTCTAGTTCAGTTCTAGTTCTAGTTCAGTTCTAGTTCAGTTCTAGTTCAGTTCAGTTCTAGTTCTAGTCCGTTCTAGTTCAGTTATAGTTAGTTCTAGTTCAGTTCTAGTTCAGTTCGTTCTAGTTTTCAGTGCTAGTCGTCTAAGTTTCAGTTCTAGTTCAAGTTCTTAGTTCAGTTCTAGTTCAGTTCTAGTTCAGTTCTAGTTCAGTTCTAATTCAGTTCTAGTTTCAGTTCTTAGTTCAGTTCTAGTTCAGTTCTAGTTCAGTTCTAGGTTCAGTTCTAGTCAGTTCTAGTTCAGTTCTAGTTCAGTTCTAGTTCAAAAGAGTGCAGGTGTAGATGATATTAGAGGGATATGATTTAAAAAAATAATTTGCAAACTATCTAACGCCGGGATAACAAAGTTAATAAATCTAAGTTTAGAAAACGGTATGGTACCAACTTTACTTAAGACTTCTATAATAAGACCTGTTTATAAAAACGGATGCAAAACAGACTACAACAACTATAGGCCTATTTCAATTTTACCTATAATAGAAAAGATATTGGAGGAAATTGTCGTCAGAAGACTAAAGCTTATCTTGAAAAGTTTAAAATAATAAACAAAAACCAATTCGGATTCCAAAAAGGAAAAAACATTAACAAGCTATTGGGAAACTTTGCAGACCATATAAATGGCTGCTTAAGTAAATGTATGCACTGTCTTGTTCTTTTCATCGATTTCAGCAAAGCCTTCGACACTCTTACACACAGCAAACTTCTACAAATGTTAGAGAAAATAGGGATAAGAGGTAATACATTAAACTGGTTTTAAAAACTACCTGATCTTAGATCTTATCGCGTTAAGATAGGAGATGGATACAGTGATGATGTAGAATATGACTGTGGTGTTCCCCAAGGTTCAAACTAGGGCCAATACTGTATATAATCTATGCAAATGAGATGATTAGTACTCTTCAGGGAAAAACAACCTTCGCTTATGCGGATGATACAGCTATAGTAGTCTCAGGCCAAAATGTTACTTCTGTTACTCAAAAAATGCAAATGCAATTGGATATCGCAAATAAATGGTGCCACGACAATGGGTTAATAATTAACGCAACAAAGACCAAGTTAATGTACATTAAACCACCACATATTCCTAACTCAACAATCAATATAATATACCACGAAAACAAATGTCTACATGAAAAAGCCAAAGATCCTACAAACGATAACGATGATTGCTCCACAATAATAGAAACTGTAGATACGTACAAATACCTAGGAATATATGTCGATAGTAAATTTAAATGGAAAGCACATATTGAACATCTTCAAAGTAAACTACGAAAATCTGCTTATATGTTATGTCATTTAAGCTACTGTTCTACATATAGTGTGTTAAGACAAGTTTACTTCTCAATAGTAGAATCCTACATTCGACATGGTATAGCAGCATGGGGAAGTTCAACACATTGTCGAATTATACAAAACACGCAAAATCAAATACTTAAAATCCTCAGTAAAAATTTTAATTTCACAGTTCACAACACATCACAAATCCACAGACCAACTAACTACACATACAGAAACAACAGATCACTTGAAGAAAACAACCTTACACAATCCGACACACCCACAATAAACAACACAACAGAAAACACAAACGCTCACAGGTCCAATGACACATTTCATAACAATACTTCAAGCTACAATAACACCATACTCAACTTAACACAAAATAACATAGCAGACCATAATTTGTTTAACACAAACACAACTCACATAAATTCATCATTAAATGCTGATAACTCTTATGAAAACAACCAAATATTACAGAATATAAATATAGCACAATGTCACATAGCAAACAATACAATGGTCAATGAAATAGTACCCAATTCAGAACAACTCACGAACCAACATAATGCAAACAACAATCGAAATATATTCGCAATCGATAGTAATATTGCGAAAACGATGAACGTATTGAACATTAAAAGCATCTATTATATGACATTAATAACCGAATTTAATAAAGATGATCGATTTTTGAAGGTAATAGATCACGACTATAACACAAGACGTCGAGCTCAGGGAAGATACAAAGTGGAACGCTACTACAACAATTATGGCAAATATACTTTTGGTGTTATCATACCAACTATAATGAACAAAATACCTATACACATTTTAAACAACACTAGTAATTACAAACGAAAAAAACTTTTAAAAGAACATTTTATAAGTTCGCAATAATTACGTTAATTAAATATCTATTGTTTTTGTTAAATTTTACATATATTTTTTTTCACCTGCTGACAAGCCGAACGGTTTTAGCGGGTTCTTAATTTCATATATTTATAAAACAATTGTTAGATTTAAGAAATCATTGTAAATCAAAAATTAATGAAATTAATAAAATTAATAAATAATTAAAAAAAAAAAAAAAAAAAAAAAAAAAAAAGTTCTAGTTCAGTTCTAGTTCAGTTCTAGTTCAGTTCCAGTACAGTTCTTGTTCAGTTCTAGTTCAGTTCTTGTTCAGTTCTAATTCAGTTCTAGCTCAGTTCTAGTTCAGTTCTAGTTCATTTCTAGTTCATTTCTAGTTCAGTTCTAGTTCAGTTCTAGTTCAGTTCTAGTTCAGTTCTAGTTCAGTTCTAGTTCAGTTTAGTTCAGTTTTAGTTCAGTTCTAGTTCAGTTCTAGTTCAGTTCTAGTTCAGTTCTAGTTCAGTTCTAGTTCAGTTCTAGTTCAGTTCTAGTTCAGTTCTAGTTCAGTTCTAGTTCAGTTCTAGTTCAGTTCTAGAGTTCTAGTTCAGTTCTAGTTCAGTTCTAGTTCAGTTCTAGTTCAGTTCTAGTTCAGTTCTAGTTCAGTTCTAGTTCAGTTCTAGTTCAGTTCTAGTTCAGTTCTAGTCAGTTCTAGTTCAGTTCAGTTCAGTTCTAGTTCAGTTCTAGTTCAGTTCTAGTTCAGTTCTAGTTCAGTTCTAGTTCAGTTCTAGTTCAGTTCTAGTTCAGTTCTAGTTCAGTTCATTAGTTAGTTCTAGTTCAGTTCTAGTTCAGTTCTAGTTCAGTTCTAGTTCAGTTCTAGTTCAGTTCTAGTTCAGTTCTAGTTCAGTTCTAGTTCAGTTCTAGTTCAGTTCTAGTTCAGTTCTAGTTCAGTTCTAGTTCAGTTCTAGTTCAGTTCTAGTTCATTTCTAGTTCAGTTCTAGTTCAGTTCTAGTTCAGTTCTAGTTCAGTTTCTAGTTCAGTTCTAGTTCAGTTCTAGTTCAGTTCTAGTTCAGTTCTAGTTTAGTTCTAGTTCAGTTCTAGTTCAGTTCTAGTTCAGTTCTAGTTCAGTTCTAGTTCAGTTCTAGTTCAGTTCTATTTCAGTTCTAGTTCAGTTCTAGTTTAGTTCTAGTTCAGTTCTAGTTCAGTTCTAGTTCAGCTCTAGTTCAGTTCTAGTTCAGTTCTAGTTCAGTTTTAGTTCAGTTTGAGTTCAGTTCTAGTTCACTTCTATTTCAGTTCTCGTTGTAATAAATTTTATATGTAAGCAAGCCCACTGTACATTGTGTTATTCCATTGATAATAAATTGAATACATCTTAATTACTTCAATTCCTACAATTAATATCAAAACCGGTTCGGCAAATGCGTTAATATTTCAAAAACCTTTTTCAGTTACTTTAAAATAAAATAATCAATTATTATAACATTCGAGTAAATCCATTCAAGAGTGAATATTTAATCTATTTATAATAGTTTAACAAATTTACATACATTTAATAATATTGTTTCATACTTAAGCTAAATTTAATTTAAATTTCATTTACTTACCAAAAGCTGTTATAATACCAAATATCCTTATAAGCGGCTTTAGACAATCACAAGGTTCACCAAACTGTCGACGACGCCTTTGAAAATGCGACATAATGCCAAGTTTTCAAGGATATATTGTGTTGCAAATGGTTTTAAAAGCGTTAAAGGATGTGTTGGATAAATTTTAAACACACATACACTTAAATACACATAGACATTTGACCCTTTATAAAAACAGGCCATTAACATTTTAGTATTTATTTTTTATTTAAAAGGAAGTTAAAGATGTATGTGTTTTAAAATGTTTTAGAGTTTTGTTTTTATATATTCTTAGAGTTTTATTTATTTTTTTAGAGTTTTCTTAGATTTTTATTTAAGTTAAAGGTGGTCTCTATAGATTTGTAATATGATATTGGTTTGTGACAATATAAGTATTTATATTTGTTATTGTTTTTGAACATCTCACATCACACAAAAGGCGAAATAGATGACACTATCTGAAAATAAGAAATGACTAGTTTTAAAGGATACGACGAAAACACATACATACTCAACAACTCCTTTAATACTCAACAAATTTAATTTAACTAAGACGTAACTATGACTGAACTAGAACTGAATTAGTACAGAACATTAACAGAACTCGAACAGAACTAGAACCGGAACAGAACTAAAACAGAACTAGAACAGAACTGTAAGAGAACTAAAACAGAACTGGGACATTCTTTACAGAACTACAACTGGAACAAAACTAGAACCGGAAAAGAACAAAACTATAACAGAACTAAAACAGAGCTGATGCAAAGCTGCAGCAGAACTAGAACAGAACTAGAACAGAACTAGAACAGAACTTGAACAGAACTAGAACAGAACTAGAACAGAACTAGAACAGAACTAGAACAGAACTAGAATAGAACTAGAACAGAACTAGAACAGAACTAGAACAGAACTAGAACAGAACTAGAACAGAACTAGAACAGAACTAGAACAGAACTAGAACAGAACTAGAACAGAACTAGAACAGAACTAGAACAGAACTAGAACAGAACTAGAACAGAACTAGAACTAGAACAGAACTAGAACAGAACTAGAACAGAACTAGAACAGAACTAGAACAGAACTAGAACAGAACTAGAACTAGAACAGAACTAGAACATAACTAGAACAGAACTAGAAAGAACTAGAACAGAACTAGAACAGAACTAGAACAGTACTAGAACAGAACTAGAACAGAACTAGAGCGGAACTAGAACAGAACTGGAACATAACTGGAACAGAACTAGAACAGAACTAGAATAGAACTAGAACAGAACTAGAACAGAACTAGAACAGAACTACAACAGAACTAGAGCAGAACTAGAACAGAACTAGAACAGAACTAGAACAGAACTAGCAGAACTAGAACAGAACTAGAACAGAACTAGAACAGAACTAGAACAGAACTAGAACAGAACTAGAACAGAACTAGAACAGAACTAGAAACAGAACTAGAACAGAACTAGAACAGAACTAGAACAGAACTAGAACAGAACTAGAACAGAACTAGAACAGAACTAGAACAGAACTAGAACAGAACTAGAACAGAACTAGAACAGAACTAGAACAGAACTAGAACTGAACTAGAACAGAACTAGAACAGAACTAGAACAGAACTAGAACAGAACTAGAACAGAACTAGAACAGAGCTAGAACAGAACTAGAACAGAACTAGAAGAGAACTAGAACAGAACTAACAGAACTAGAACAGAACTAGAACAGAACTAGAACAGAACTAGAACAGAACTAGAACAGAACTAGAACAGAACTAGAACAGAACTAGAACAGAACTAGAACAGAACTAGAACAGAACTAGAACAGAACTAGAATAGAACTAGAACAGAACTAGAACAGAACTAGAACAGAACAGAACAGAACTAGAACAGAACTAGAACAGAACTAGAACAGAACTAGAACAGAACTAGAACAGAACTAGAACAGAACTAGAACAGAACTAGAACAGAACTAGAACAGAACTAGAACAGAACTAGAACAGAACTAGAACAGAACTAGAACAGAACTAGAACAGAACTAGAACAGAACTAGAACAGAACTAGAACAGAACTAGAACAGAACTAGAACAGAACTAGAACAGAACTAAACAGAACTAGAACAGAAACTAGAACAGAAACTAGAACAGAACTAGAACAGAACTAGAACAGAACTAGAACAGAACTAGAAACAGAACTAGAACAGAACTAGAACAGAACTAGAACAGAACTAGAACAGAACTAGAACAGAACTAGAACAGAACTAGAACAGAACTAGAACAGAACTAGAACAGAACTAGAACAGAACTAGAACAGAACTAGAACAGAACTAGAACAGAACTAGAACAGAACTAGAACAGAACTAGAACAGAACTAGAACAGAACTAGAACAGAACTAGAACAGAACTAGAACAGAACTAGAACAGAACTAGAACAGAACTAGAACAGAACTAGAACAGAAACTAGAACAGAACTAGAACAGAAACTAGAACAGAACTAGAACAGAACTAGAACAGAACTAGAACAGAACAAGAACAGAACTAGAACAGAACTAGAACAGAACTAGAACAGAACTAGAACAGAACTAGAACAGAACTAGAACAGAACTAGAACAGAACTAGAACAGAACTAGAACAGAACTAGAACAGAACTAGAACAGAACTAGAACGGAACTAGAACAGAACTAGAATTAGAATTAGAACTATAGCAGAATTAGAAAAGAACTCTAGCAGAATTAGAACAGAACTAGAACAGAACTAGAACAGAACTAGAACAGAACTAGAACAGAACTAGAACAGAACTAGAACAGAACTAGAACAGAACTAGAACAAAACTAGAACAGAACTAGAACAGAACTAGAACAGAACTAGAACAGAACTAGAACAGAACTAGAACAGAACTAGAACATTACTAGAACAGAACTAGAACAGGACTAGAACAAAACTAGAAAAGAACTATAGCAGAATTAGAACAGAACTAGAACTGAACTGGTGTCTGTTACAAACGTACCAACGAATCCTAATATACTTTTTATTATGTTGATAGTTAGTATAACAACAACAATGAAAGATCCCTATGAGACAAACAATGTTGTTGATGAGGATGCTTTTGCTGCTGCTACTCTAACTGTTATTGTTGCCGGCGCTGAGAGACGTCTCCTATATATTCCCAAAGTGTAAATAATCCTGCGGCAACATATATCATGACAATGACAACAACATGTAATCATTGTTACTACTACACAGAGTAAACAACACCATAGATGAGGAGAGATAGAGATAGATTTTGAAACTTTTCTTTTTTATTACCCAGCGCCATAGAATAAAGAAGGAATATCACTTTACAACTGATACTAACAATAATGTTGTTGATGATTTAGGGACAACCAATGTACAGCTAAACAAACAAATAATAATCATAATAATAAAAGAGAAGCAACAACATGCGTGTATTGCATATAAATCATGATAATTTTGTAGTAGATTTCAAAAAATTATTATTATTTTATGTTTTCATATATTTTGTATTATTATGTTTTTTTTTTTTTTCGTTTTTTGGGTTCTAAGGAGTCAAGTCTTAGAACAAAAATTGTCTTACACTGTGTTGGCAACTATTCAAAGTTTGTTATTGTTGTTGTTGTTGTGTTGGCCTTATATCCTTGGCCAAACAAACAAAAATATCCTTTAAAATCCATGTAATACGAAATAAAGTTTCTTGTTTTCTTGTTTTTGGACAAAATACATTTGTAGATAAAAAATATAACTTTTTTGTTTTCTTTACTTGTTTGGTATTTAAATCCTAAATCCAAGGGATAAAATGTTTAAAATTATATCATAATCATAATTCACTTTAACATTTCTTTATATTTTTTTTTTGTTGTTTCTTGCTTGGCTTTCGCGTAATCCTTACAAAAAGTTTCTTTTTCCTCAAAATATTTAATCCTTAAAACTTTTTGCACAAAAATTTCAAATTTTCTTTATGGTTTCGTTGCTGATAGTAGGTTCATCTTGGCGTATACTTGTTTTCTAATTAGGATATTAATTTTTAATGAACTTCACAAAATTCTTTTAAAATTTCTTTTAATATTTTTTCTTAAAACACGTAAATTTTGCTTCACTTGTTCACCAGTTTCCACTTTAGATTTTTTATTTCTATTTGTTTTTATTATGATTTCAAGAACCGCTGTAAACACGTCCGCATTGGTCTAAAGGCAAAAGTCAAATGTTTTTCTATTTCATACTGTGGCATAGAATTTTTGTTAACATTTCGCCAACATTCATATAAAATACGTAACAACATACTACGTACTAGACATGTAGCAAACAGTTCAGTTGTCGTAATAAAGTCAAGTAAAGTTTCTACGATTATTATTTTTTTTTTCGTGTTCGAGCTTGTGTTTTCAGCCTGCCGCCCTATGCCTGAGTTTGGTTATGATGTTGATAATAATGAGTTGAAGTGGCCCTATAATGAGGTTTATCGGTTAAAGACATCAAATGGAAAAAGTGTATGATAGAAAATAATAAGCATCACTTTTGCTTTCTGAGTCCATCAAACTATAATTAAAATAATTAGCTCTGCACAATGGGGTTGGGCAAAAATAAATAACATATTCAGGACTGAACAAAAAAAGAGCGAGAATAGAACTAGAACAGAACTAGAACAGAACTAGAACAGAACTAGAACAGAACTAGAACAGAACTAGAACAGAACTAGAACAGAACTAGAACAGAAATAGAATAGAACTAGAACGGAACTAGAACGGAACTAGAACGAAGAAAAAACAGAACTAGAACAGAACTAAAACAGAACTAGAACAGAACTAAAACAGAACTAGAACAGAACTAGAACAGAACTAAAACAGAACTAGGACAGAACTAGAACAGAACTAGAAGAGAACTAGAAGAGAACTAGAACTGAACTAGAACAGAACTAGAACAGAACTAGAACAGAACTAGAACAGAACTAGAACAGAACTAGAACAGAACTAGAACAGAACTAGAACAGAACTAGAACAGAACTAGAACAGAACTAGAACAGAACTAGAACAGAACTAGAACAGAACTAGAACAGAACTAGAACAGAACTAGAACAGAACTAGAACAGAACTAGAACAGAACTAGAACAGAACTAGAACAGAACTAGAACAGAACTAGAACAGAAATAGAATAGAACTAGAACGGAACTAGAACGGAACTAGAACGGAACTAGAACAGAACTAAAACAGAACTAGAACAGAACTAAAACAGAACTAGAACAGAACTAAAACAGAACTAGAACAGAACTAGAACAGAACTAAAACAGAACTAGGACAGAACTAGAACAGAACTAGAACAGAACTAGAAGAGAACTAGAACAGAACTAGAACAGAACTAGAACAGAACTAGAACAGAACTAGAAGAGAACTAGAACAGAACTAGAACAGAACTAGAACAGAACTAGAACAGAACTAGAACAGAACTAGAACAGAACTAGAACAGAACTAGAACAGAACTAGAACAGAACTAGAACAGAACTAGAACAGAACTAGAACAGAACTAGAACAGAACTAGAACAGAACTAGAACAGAACTAGAACAGAACTAGAACAGAACTAGAACAGAACTAGAACAGAACTAGAACAGAACTAGAACAGAACTAGAACAGAACTAGAACAGAACTAGAACAGAACTAGAACAGAACTAGAACAGAACTAGAACAGAACTAGAACAGAACTAGAACAGAACTAGAACAGAACTAGAACAGAACTAGAACAGAACTAGAACAGAACTAGAACAGAACTAGAACAGAACTAGAACAGAACTAGAACAGAACTAGAACAGAACTAGAAACAGAACTAGAACAGAACTAGAACAGAACTAGAACAGAACTAGAACAGAACTAGAACAGAACTAGAACAGAACTAGAACAGAACTAGAACAGAACTAGAACAGAACTAGAACAGAACTAGAACAGAACTAGAACAGAACTAGAACAGAACTAGAACAGAACTAGAACAGAACTAGAACAGAACTAGAACAGAACTAGAACAGAACTAGAACAGAACTAGAACAGAACTAGAACAGAACTAGAACAGAACTAGAACAGAACTAGAACAGAACTAGAACAGAACTAGAACAGAACTAGAACAGAACTAGAACAGAACTAGAACAGAACTAGAACAGAACTAGAACAGAACTAGAACAGAACTAGAACAGAACTAGAACAGAACTAGAACAGAACTAGAACAGAACTTGAACAGAACTTGAACATAATTGAACAGAACAGAAATACATTTAGGCAATTTAAAAGATTTATGTTTTTAAATATAATATTCGTATCACAGTCCAAAATGTTTTTTATACAAAAAATTAAGAATTTGCCTATAATTGAGTATTGTAGCTATAGTATAATTGCAAAAGAAAATATAAATAGACATCACGTTTAAAATCTCCTTTGTTTTTATGGAATTATGGTTATATACTAAATATATATAAAATTATATTTCATTAGCAAAACAAACAATAATTTTGGCAATAAACGATTTATTAATTTTAAATCGTAAAATAATTATGCGACCAAAATGTAACGCTTAACGGATTTGCTTCTCTCTCTTTTTAGAGAATAATGTATCCCTATAGCTCTCATTAGCAAATTTTCGAAAAAATATTTTTCTATAAAATTTTACCAAAAATTGTTACATGTTCTTTAGACAATTTGCAAAAGAAAGAACAATTACAAAAGGAAATTTAAAAAATGTTTTTTTTTTTTCTATAGAACATCTTGAAATAAAATAAAAAATAATAAAACTTTCCATAAAAATTTCGAAAATTTTTCTTACTATAGAAAATCTCTCAGTTTTGTAAAAAAATTCAAAAAAAAAATTGGTTTAAGAAAATAAAAAGTAGGTCACCAAGTGTTTCGGTTTACTAAAACCTTTTCTACAATGTAAATTTTTCCTTCAAACTAATATTTTGTTTTGCAACAACCGTATTGTGTGTAAGAATGTATTAGAATGTGTGTAAAAATATGATCACATGGAATTGTCTAACAAGCACAAATACAAATTTTCTTTACATTTCTGAAATAGCATAAATAATACACACCAATCCCGGTAGTTCGGATAGTCTCAAACATACATCCGATTCTTACTCCCACTTAGACTGCTTACACCATTGCTATGTGTCTTAATTGACATTTAATGAGCTATGGAATAGGCTATAGGCAAGGCTATAGAATAGACTGTAGAATAGACTATAAACTAGACTATAGACTAGACTTAGATAAGACTATAGAATAGACTATTGACTAGGCTATAGAATAGACTAGACCATGGACTAAACATTCTATAGTCTATATACTATAAACTAGACTATAGACTACTATAGACTATAGACTAGAGACTAGACTATAGACTAGATATAGACTAGACTATAGACTAGACTATGACTAGACTAGACTATAGACTAGACTATAGACTAGACTATAGACTAGACTATAGACTAGACTATAGACTAGACTACAGACTAGACTACAGACTAGACTATAGACTAGACTATAGACTAGACTATAGACTAGACTATACATACTAGACTATAGACTAGACTATAGACTAGACTATAGACTAGACTATAGACTAGACTATAGACTAGACTATAGACTAGACTATAGACTAGACTATAGACTAGACTATAGACTAGACTATAGACTAGACTATAGACTAGACTATAGACTAGACTATAGACTAGACTATAGACTAGACTATAGACTAGACTATAGACTAGACTATAGACTAGACTATAGACTAGACTATAGACTAGACTATAGACTAGACTATAGACTAGCTATAGACTAGACTACAGACTAGACTATAGACTAGACTATAGACTAGACTATAGACTAGACTATAGACTAGACTACAGACTAGACTATAGACTAGACTATAGACTAGACTATAGACTAGACTATAGACTAGACTATAGACTAGACTATAGACTAGACTACAGACTAGACTATAGACTAGACTATAGACTAGACTATAGACTAGACTACAGACTAGACTATAGACTAGACTATAGACTAGACTATAGACTAGACTATAGACTAGACCAGAGGAGCGCAAGATTGCCATTACATAGCACGCGTGATAGGGTAAGAAAATTCTGCTGACGCTAAGTTGATACACATACACTATAGGTTTAATTCTTCTTCTTTTTATAATGAGCAATATCAGTGGGTTTGCTCTCACTTGAAAAACAAAATCAAATCAGTTGCTGATCAGCACTTGTCGAAGCAAGGTCTGTACGCGACGTTTTTAAAATACACACAGAAATACAACAACAAAATTTTGAGAAAGCCGAATTAATGTAGGAGAACATGAGAGAACAGTTGTTAGTTTTTTTATATAGACTTTGATATCGCTGGCTGTCAAAATCCATAATAAACATTTGACAGTTAGCATATACTTTATAGTTTATAGTCATTTTATAGTATACTTTTATTTTGAATTGAATTCTGTTCTCTGCTGCTTTACCAACACAAATAAAACTATGGTACTCTATGGTAGTATGTGTTTGAGCAACACTGGACTAGACTATAGACTAGACTATAGACTAGACTATAGACTAGACTATAGACTAGACTATAGACTAGACTATAGACTAGACTATAGACTAGACTATAGACTAGACTATAGACTAGACTATAGACTAGACTATAGACTAGACTATAGACTAGACTATAGACTAGACTATAGACTAGACTATAGACTAGACTATAGACTAGACTATAGACTAGACTATAGACTAGACTAGACTAGACTATAGACTAGACTATAGACTAGACTATAGACTAGACTATAGACTAGACTATAGACTAGACTATAGACTAGACTATAGAGACTAGACTAATAGACTAGACTATAGACTAGACTATAGACTAGACTATAGACTAGACTATAGACTAGACTATAGACTAGACTAGACAAGACTATAGACTAGACTATAGACTAGACTATAGACTAGACTATAGACTAGACTATAGACTAGACTATAGACTAGACTATAGACTAGACTATAGACTAGACTATAGACTAGACTATAGACTAGACTATAGACTAGACTATAGACTAGACTATAGACTAGACTATAGACTAGACTATAGACTAGACTATAGACTAGACTATAGACTAGACTATAGACTAGACTATAGACTAGACTATAGACTAGACTATAGACTAGACTATAGACTAGACTATAGACTAGACTATAGACTAGACTATAGACTAGACTATAGACTAGACTATAGACTAGACTATAGACTAGACTATAGACTAGACTATAGACTAGACTATAGACTAGACTATAGACTAGACTATAGACTAGACTATAGACTAGACTATAGACTAGACTATAGACTAGACTATAGACTAGACTATAGACTAGACTATAGACTAGACTATAGACTAGACTATAGACTAGACTATAGACTAGACTATAGACTAGTCTATAGACTAGTATATAGATATATATAGACTATAGACTAGACTATAGACTAGACTATAGACTAGACTATAGACTAGACTATAGACTAGACTACAGACTAGACTATAGACTAGACTATAGACTAGACTATAGACTAGACTATAGACTAGACTACAGACTAGACTATAGACTAGACTATAGACTAGACTACAGACTAGACTATAGACTAGACTATAGACTAGACTATAGACTAGACTATAGACTAGACTATAGACTAGACTATAGACTAGACTATAGACTAGACTATAGACTAGACTATAGACTAGACTATAGACTAGACTATAGACTAGACTATAGACTAGACTATAGACTAGACTATAGACTAGACTATAGACTAGACTATAGACTAGACTATAGACTAGACTATAGACTAGACTATAGACTAGACTATAGACTAGACTATAGACTAGACTATAGACTAGACTATATACTAGACTATAGACTAGACTATAGACTAGACTATAGACTAGACTATAGACTAGACTATAGACTAGACTATAGACTAGACTATAGACTAGACTATAGACTAGACTATAGACTAGACTATAGACTAGACTATAGACTAGACTATAGAGTAGACTATAGACTAGACTATAGACTAGACTATAGACTAGACTATAGACTAGACTATAGACTAGACTATAGACTAGACTATAGACTAGACTATAGACTAGACTATAGACTAGACTATAGACTAGACTATAGACTAGACTATAGAGTAGACTATAGACTAGACTATAGACTAGACTATAGACTAGACTATAGACTAGACTATAGAGTAGACTATAGACTAGACTATAGACTAGACTATAGACTAGACTATAGACTAGACTATAGACTAGTCTATAGACTAGTATATAGATATAGTATATAGACTATAGACTAGACTATAGACTAGACTATAGACTAGACTATAGACTAGACTATAGACTAGACTATAGACTAGACTATAGACTAGACTATAGACTAGACTATAGACTAGACTATAGACTAGACTATAGACTAGACTATAGACTAGACTATAGACTAGACTATAGACTAGACTATAGACTAGACTATAGACTAGACTATAGACTAGACTATAGACTAGACTATAGACTAGACTATAGACTAGACTATAGACTAGACTATAGACTACTAGACTAGACTATAGACAGACTATAGACTAGACTATAGACTAGACTATAGACTAGACTATAGACTAGACTATAGACTAGACTATAGACTAGACTATAGACTAGACTATAGACTAGACTATAGACTAGACTATAGACTAGACTATAGACTAGACTATAGACTAGACTATAGACTAGACTATAGACTAGACTATAGACTAGACTATAGACTAGACTATAGACTAGACTATAGACTAGACTATAGACTAGACTATAGACTAGACTATAGACTAGACTATAGACTAGACTATAGACTACACTATAGACTAGACTATAGACTAGACTATAGACTAGACTATTACCTATAGACTAGACTATAGACTAGACTATAGACTAGACTGTAGACTAGACTATAGACTAGACTATAGACTAGACTATAGACTATACTTTAGACTAGACTATAGACTAGACTATAGACTAGACTATAGACTAGACTATAGACTATATAGACTATATAGACTAGACTATAGACTAGACTATAGACTAGACTATAGACTAGACTATAGACTAGACTATAGACTAGACTATAGACTAGACTATAGACTAGACTATAGACTAGACTAGACTAGACTAGACTATAGACTAGACTATAGACTAGACTAGACTATAGACTAGACTATAGACTAGACTATAGACTAGACTATAGACTATACTATAGACTATACTATAAGCTAGACTACAGACTAGACTAGACTAGACTATAGACTATACTATAGACTAGACTATAGACTAGACTATAGACTAGACATAGACTAGACTAGAGACTAGACTATAGATAGACTATAGACTAGACTATAGACTAGACTATACGAGACTATAGACTAGACTATAGACTAGACTATAGACTATACTATAGACTGACTATAGACTAGACTATAGACTAGACTATAGACTAGACTATAGACTAGACTAGACTAGACTATAGACTAGACTATAGACTAGAATATAGACTAGACTATACTATAGACTATACTATAAGCTAGACTAAGACTAGACTAGACACAAATTTCGAAAATTCCTACCGGTTGTTTTATTTTATAGAAATTTTACATTATACCATAAATAATAATGTTGTTGTTGTGTGTTTTTTTGTGATATTTTTTAGAATTATGTTTTTTTTTTTCTTTAACAAATGCAAATTTTTGAGACAATAAGCTTTTAATTATACTCGTTTTCATATTTTTTTCTTATTATTTTTATTGTTAGACTTGTGGGTATATATATGTATGTGCTATAATTTTTAATTTAATATTCTTAAAGGACTCGGAAATTTTTGTGCAGACAATTAAGGAAATTAATGCTGTTTTGCTTTAACGACATACTTATAGTATAGCTTTAGTTTTATATGATATTTTCTCATCATCATTGTCAACATTGTAATCATCCTCATCATCTCAGCCTTTAGATGCAGGGTCTCGTTCTTTTTTAGAAAAAAAAAATGAATAAAACGTAAATAATACAAATTATTTTAATATTTATAATATTAGCAAAGAAATATGTTTCATTTATAAATGACTGAATTTGAAAGAAGCAAATGGGCACAAAATATTTAATATAGAGCAAATTAGGTAGAAATTAGAAGGTGCAGATGAACAAAAGTTAATTTGAGAGCAAATTTTGATATTTGTTTTTGGTGCTACAGATTCGTTGCTGCCGATTTACTGCTACTGTTTTAATTATCCATTTTAAAGAAATATTTCTATAATAAAAAAATAACTACAAAAGTCATAAAGGTCTATTATAAAACAATATAAATAATAAACTATAATTATTGCTCAAAGTTTTATTTTATTGTCTGTCTCACTCTCCCTCTCTAAAACCATTATGAACTTTGAACTTAAGTTTTGAGACCTCGTATCTCTCTTACACTTATTCCCTCTTCTTGGCAAAAAAGATTTGTTTAAAAGAACACATATTCAAGTTTCAACTAATAATAGATTTATATTCTTAGAGATAAGAATAAATTTGTATAAGTTATTTTCACAATTTCCCATGTTACATTATCTTTTTAAGCGCCAACACAACAAACCTTTTTTTTAGTCCTTTATTTCAAGAAAAAAGTACTAAAACAAAAATTGTTTACTAAAAACTCAAAAAGATATTGTAACTATGTATGTAGCTGCAATAAAGTAATAATACTTATACATTATCAAGGCATAAGTATACGAACTAACCGTACTTAACACATAATTGTGCTTAAACTAAAATTGGTTGTAACAGAAAAAAATAAAAAAAAAATGGCGTAAAAGTAACAGTTCTTCAAAGATACAAAAACTTAGTATTCCTTTATAATCATTTCAGGCTTTTGCATGACACGGCTTTTATATTTTATGGAAACCCTGCAGTTCTTAAGGAAGTATTTTTCCAAACCAAACTATCAACTGGGCATTTGACAGGACTAAATATTAGATTGTAGATTAGAGTATAGTCTAGACTAGACTAAGGACCAGACTATAGACTAGACTAGACTAAGGACCAGACTATAGACTAGACTATGGACTAGACTATAGACTAAACTATAAACTATACTATAGACTAGACTATTGACTAGACTATAGACTAAGCCCAAACTAGACTATACACTAGACTAAGACTAACTATATACTAGACTATAGACAAAGTTATACCAGACTATAGTTTTATAGTCTAGTCTATAGTCAAGTCTTAGTCTAGTCTATAGTCTACTTAGTCTAGTCTAGTCTAGTCTATAGTCTAGTCTATAGTCTAGTCTATAGTCTAGTCTATAGTCTAGTCTATAGTCTAGTCTATAGTCTAGTCTATAGTCTAGTCTATAGTCTATCTATAGTCTAGTCTATAGTCTAGTCTATAGTCTAGTCTATAGTCTATCTATATAGTCTAGTCTTAGTCTAGTCTATAGTCTAGTCTATAGTCTAGTCTATAGTCTAGTCTATAGTCTAGTCTATAGTCTAGTCTATAGTCTAGTCTATAGTCTAGTCTATAGTCTAGTCATAGTCGTCTAGTCTAGTCTATAGTCTAGTCTATAGTCTAGTCTATAGTCTAGTCTATAGTCTAGTCTATAGTCTAGTCTATAGTCTGTCTATAGTCTAGTCTATAGTCTAGTCTATAGTCTAGTCTATAGTCTAGTCTATAGTCTAGTCTATAGTCTAGTCTAGTCTAGTCTATAGTCTAGTCTATAGTCTAGTCTATAGTCTAGTCTATAGTCTAGTCTATAGTCTAGTCTATATCTAGTCTATAGTCTAGTCTATAGTCTAGTCTATAGTCTAGTCTATAGTCTAGTCTATAGTCAGTCTATAGTCTAGTCTATAGTCTAGTCTATAGTCTAGTCTATAGTCTAGTCTATAGTCTAGTCTATAGTCTAGTCTATAGTCTAGTCTATAGTCTAGTCTATAGTCTAGTCTAATAGTCTAGTCTATAGTCTAGTCTATAGTCTAGTCTATAGTCTAGTCTATAGTCTAGTCTATAGTCTAGTCATAGTCTAGTCTATAGTCTAGTCTATAGTCTAGTCTATAGTCTAGTCTATAGTCTAGTCTATAGTCTAGTCTATAGTCTAGTCTATAGTCTCTAGTCTAGTCTATAGTCTATCTATAGTCTAGTCTATAGTCGTCTATAGTCTAGTCTATAGTCTAGTCTATAGTCTAGTCTATAGTCTAGTCTATAGTCTAGTCTATAGTCTAGTCTATAGTCTAGTCTATATCTAGTCTATAGTCTAGTCTATAGTCTAGTCTAGTCTAGTCTATAGTCTAGTCTATAGTCTAGTCTATAGTCTAGTCTATAGTCTAGTCTATAGTCTAGTCTATAGTCCTAGTCTATAGTCTAGTCTATAGTCTAGTCTATAGTCTAGTCTATAGTCTAGTCTAGTCTAGTCTATAGTCTAGTCTATAGTCTAGTCTATAGTCTAGTCTATATCTAGTCTAGTCTATCTATAGTTAGTCTATAGTCTAGTCTATAGTCTAGTCTATAGTCTAGTCTATAGTCTAGTCTATAGTCTAGTCTTAAGTCTATAGTCTAGTCTATAGTCTAGTCTATAGTCTAGTCTATAGTCTAGTCTATAGTCAGTCTATAGTCTAGTATAGTCTAGTCTAAGTCTAGTCTATAGTCTAGTCTATAGTCTAGTCATAGTCTAGTCTATAGTCTAGTCTATAGTCTAGTCTATAGTCTAGTCTATAGTCTAGTCTATATCTAGTCTTAGTCTAGTCTATAGTCTAGTCTATAGTCTAGTCTATAGTCTAGTCTATAGTCTAGTCTATAGTCTAGTCTTAGTCTAGTCTATAGTCTAGTCTATAGTCTAGTCTATAGTCTAGTCTATAGTCTAGTCTATATCTAGTCTATAGTCTAGTCTATAGTCTAGTCTATAGTCTAGTCTATAGTCTAGTCTATAGTCTAGTCTATAGTCTAGTCTATAGTCTAGTCTATAGTCTAGTCTATAGTCTAGTCTATAGTCTAGTCTATAGTCTAGTCTAGTCTAGTCTATAGTCTAGTCTATAGTCTAGTCTATAGTCTAGTCTATAGTCTAGTCTATAGTCTAGTCTATAGTCTAGTCTATAGTCTAGTCTAGTCTAGTCTATAGTCTAGTCTATAGTCTAGTCTATAGTCTAGTCTATAGTCTAGTCTATAGTCTAGTCTATAGTCTAGTCTATAGTCTAGTCTATAGTCTAGTCTATAGTCTAGTCTATAGTCTAGTCTATAGTCTAGTCTATAGTCTAGTCTATAGTCTAGTCTATAGTCTAGTCTATAGCTAGTCTATAGTCTAGTCTATAGTCTAGTCTATAGTCTAGTCTATAGTCTAGTCTATAGTCTAGTCTATAGTCTAGTCTATAGTCTAGTCTATAGTCTAGTCTATCCTAGTCTAGTCTAGTCTATAGTCTAGTCTATAGTCTAGTCTATAGTCTAGTCTATAGTCTAGTCTATAGTCTAGTCTATAGTCTAGTCTATAGTCTAGTCTATAGTCTAGTCTATAGTCTAGTCTATAGTCCTAGTCTATAGTCTAGTCTATAGTCTAGTCTAGTCTAGTCTATAGTCTAGTCTATAGTCTAGTCTATAGTCTAGTCTATAGTCTAGTCTATAGTCTATTCTATAGTCTAGTCTATAGTCTAGTCTATAGTCTAGTCTATAGTCTAGTCTATAGTCTAGTCTATAGTCTAGTCTTAGTCTAGTCTATAGTCTAGTCTATAGTCTAGTTATAGTCTAGTCTATAGTCTAGTTATAGTCTAGTCTAGTCTAGTCTATAGTCTAGTATAGTCTAGTCTATAGTCCAGTCTATAGTCTAGTCTATAGTCTAGTCTATAGTCTAGTCTATAGTCTAGTCTATAGTCTAGTCTATAGTCTAGTCTATAGTCTAGTCTATAGTCTAGTCTATAGTCTAGTCTATAGTCTATCTATAGTCTAGTCTATAGTCTAGTCTATAGTCTAGTCTATAGTCTAGTCTATAGTCTAGTCTATAGTCTAGTCTATAGTCCTAGTCTATAGTCTATTCTATAGTCTAGTCTATAGTCTAGTCTGTAGTCTAGTCTATAGTCTAGTCTATAGTCTAGTCTATAGTCTAGTCTATAGTCTAGTCTATAGTCTAGTCTATAGTCTAGTCTATAGTCTAGTCTATAGTCTAGTCTATAGTCTAGTTATAGTCTAGTCTATAGTCTAGTCATAGTCTAGTCTATAGTCTAGTCTATAGTCTAGTCTATAGTCTAGTCTATAGTCTAGTCTATAGTCTAGTCTATAGTCTAGTCTATAGTCTAGTCTATAGTCTAGTCTATAGTCTAGTCTATAGTCTAGTCTATAGTCTAGTCTATAGTCTAGTCTATAGTCTAGTCTATAGTCTAGTCTATAGTCTAGTCTATAGTCTAGTCTAAGTCTAGTCTATAGTCTAGTCTATAGTCTAGTCTATAGTCTAGTCTATAGTCTAGTCTATAGTCTAGTCTTAGTCTAGTCTATAGTCTAGTCTATAGTCTAGTCTATAGTCTAGTCTATAGTCTAGTCTATAGTTAGTCTATAGTCTAGTCTAGTCTAGTCTATAGTCTAGTCTATAGTCTAGTCTATAGTCTAGTCTATAGTCTAGTCTATAGTCTAGTCTATAGTCTAGTCTATAGTCTAGTCTATAGTCTAGTCTATAGTCTAGTCTATAGTCTAGTCTAGTAGTCTAGTCTATAGTCTAGTCTATAGTCTAGTCTATAGTCTAGTATATAGTTAGTCTATAGTAGTCTATAGTCTAGTCTATAGTCTAGTCTATAGTCTAGTCTATAGTCTAGTCTATAGTCTAGTCTATAGTCTAGTCTATAGTCTAGTCTATAGTCTAGTCTATAGTCTAGTCTATAGTCTAGTCTATAGTCTAGTCTATAGTTCTAGTCTATAGTCTAGTCTATAGTCTAGTCTAGTCTATAGTCTAGTCTATAGTCTAGTCCTATAGTCTAGTCTATAGTCTAGTCTATAGTCTAGTCTATAGTCTAGTCTATAGTCTAGTCTATAGTCTAGTCATAGTCTAGTCTATCGTCTGTCTATAGTCTAGTCTATAGTCTAGTCTATAGTCTAGTCTAGTCTAGTCTGTAAGTCTAGTCTAGTCTCTAGTCTAGTCTATAGTCTAGTCTATAGTCTAGTCTATAGTCTAGTCTATAGTCTAGTCTATAGTCTAGTCTATAGTCTAGTCTATAGTCTAGTCTATAGTCTAGTCTATAGTCTAGTCTATAGTCTAGTCTATAGTCTAGCCTATAGTCGAAAAAATTTTCGAAAAAGTCTCTTTTTTATAGAAATCTTTACCCACTGGGTTCCCAAGCTTTATATTTATAAATAGATGATGGTTAAATTATGCCACAAACGACAGCAGCTAAAGAAAACCTACACCCCCTCCGCCTCTAACATATTTGTAAATTATAGTGTCAAGTGCTAAAAACGACAAACGTCGAAAAAAATTTCACCGCCTGCCTACAACCCCCAACAACTGCTCCAAATTCAGCAGCAACAGTGCGTGTGATTTATATTCAGTTTGTTTTTTTTACATTTTCACTTTTCTGCAAACCCAAACAATTGTCCTTTCATATCCTTTTTTGTTTGTGCTGTGAGAACAGGTTTAATTTGTCATTAAATTTTTAACAAATCTTTACAAATTTTTCAATTTGAAAATTGTTTCGTTTTTTTATTGTTTATGATAAATCTGTAACATTAGTTTTAGTTGCAATCATACATACGTTAGCTGATTTTTACTTTCCATAAGTTTTACGTTTCTTCATGATTTTCTGTATGCTGGCAACCATGGCTACTTCCGGCATTGTTAGTTTGGCATCTTCTTGAAAGTCACAGCGACGCGCCAAATGCAACCAAGCACGTTCTGGATTTAATGATAGTGGTGTTTGCAACCATGTTACATACTCTATTTTTAAGGAACCGGTTAATAGCTGTAGGGGGAAGGGGATTTGAGCAAATGTAAGTGAGTGGAAGATTAAATGGAGTAGAAATATTATTTAAAGAGTATTCTTAAGTAAAGTTGGGATATTACCTGATCAAATGGTGTATTTTCTATAAAGAACATAGTTTTAAGTAGAGAAGGTTTACTTTCTTTGATATTTTGACCCTGTACACCCTGGAAAGGACTTGGTTCATTCTGACTGGTACCCAACTGTTCCATTAACCAATCTTTGTTGTTTTTCAAGTAGTTATAACAGACCTGCAATTGTTATAGGCGAAGCCCCTACGATGTTAGTAAAGCTCTATCTCCGATATTTTCAAAACTTACCTTCAAAGCCTGTTTACCAATATCCGTAGTCAAAACATCGCTGGTCAAGACCTCTGCAATAAAGTCAGTAATGCCAACTTCCAATTCCATGGCATAATTTGCAGGGGGACTGTGGCTCATACGATCCGAATCGGCTGTACCTATATCATCGATTTTAACCGTGCTAACAGCACTCATGCCACCCGGACCACGACCCGTAGAACCATAGCTTTCCAATATAATACTATCCTTAGCCTGCTTTAAAAACAGCTCTATCTGATCGGTATGTTTATCATCCTCATCAATAGAACATATAGCCTCCGATATGGTATAACAAATGGAGGCCTTGGCCTCATCCTTTAACTTTTCATATTTCTCTGCGGTTTTGATAAGTTCAGTATAGAGGGCGGCAAACATAACTTGCATTAAAACCGATTCACCTGGTATTAAGTAAGAAAATATATTTCAAAACGATTCTTTCTAAAACCAATCCAAAACTTACTTAGAGGTCTTGTTGATACCGGTGTTATATCTTGCAGTAACGAGGTTACTTTATACAAACCCTCGGGTATACAATCCCACATTTCTGAAACACAAGTTAAAGCCAAAGACATGGCCTGATACATGCTGGCCCCAGCTTCCACAGCATTAACCAACATTTCCACTATGCAATCCAAAACGGGGTAAACAAAATGCATTATAGCCTCCAACCAGGGAGGACGTTTTTGATTCCAAACCTTTAGCACACACAAAAAATATATATAGTTTTATAACAACCCCCCAAATATATAACTTTGTATTATCCACCTGTCTCTTATCCAAACAATCACTCCATCCGGGTAAACCTACATCTTCTAAGGATTTTATTAAACAGGATTTTATATCTACCGCTTTACCCAAAGCCACCAATAAATAAGTTAAAGATAAAACTATCTGGCAATTAGTTTGACCCACAGGATCTGTAACATATAAAAAAAATTTCCATAACTTAAGTCTTCTCATTTCTTAATCATCTTACCCAAATCATTTGCTATTAAATCGGCCACATTAAAACATTCTCCTCGACATAAGAAACCTTCACATTTCTTGGACTCATTAATATCTTCGATAAACGAATGTTTAGCCACATTCTTAAAGTTTTCACTAGAGGGTAAGTGTTTCAAAAGATGTCTTAATATTATGCCCGTTAAGTGGGCATCTCTCATTAGCAAGACCTAATCCAAAAAAAATAGATATTTATTTTCAATTTGGTTCAATATGATTCATTATTTCTTGGTACCTTAACTAAAAATGGCCAATCGGCTTCCGGTGAGGACAATAACACCTTTAGCTCTAATGACACTGCTGTGCTGGTATTCAAATCTGCAAATTCGGTTACCCATTGGCATGACTGATCTTTGGGAAATAACCGCGGTAAAGCGAATATATCCAAGCACTGGGTAAACCATGTCGAGAGGAAAACATTTCCATATTTTCGAGACCTTTACGGAAAACCTTAAGGAAGGAGATTATGATTTAAGTACAATATAGTTTAGTCTATAGTGTAGTCAACAGACTGAACTATAGGCTATAATCTGGATTATAGCCTATTTTATAGACCAGACTATAGTGTGGACTATAGTCCTGTCTATAATCTGGACTGTAATTAAGTATATAATATGGATTCTTGCCTATTCTATAATGTAGTCTATAGTGTGGTCCATAGTCTGAACTCTAATCCAGTATATAGTTTGTGCTGTACTCTAGTCTATAGTCTCGGCTATAGTTTTGCCTATAGTCCACAGACTGAACTTTAACCTAATCTACAATCTCGAATACAGTCCGGACTTATCTCACGATATAGTCCATAGTCTGAACTATAGTTTAGACAATTGTCTATAGATAGAACTGCAGTCTAGCCTACAATTTGGATTATAGACTTAACTATAGTTTAGTCTATATTCAAACATATAATGTTGTCTATAGTCTGGCCTATACTTTATTACATAGTCTTGAAAATAGTGTAACATATAGTCTGGCCTATATGTCTAGTCTACACTCTGGACTATTTGAGACTACATCCTATAAACTGAACTGCGGTCTCGTCTATAATCAGGATTATAACCTGAACAATAGTTAAGTCTGTAGTCTACAGTCTGAACAATAGTCTAGTCTATAATCAGAACTATAGTCTATTCAATAATCTAATCCTAGTCTAGTTCATAATATGAACTATAGCCTTGGCTACAGTCTATCGTCTAGACTATATATAAGTCTATAGTCTGAACTATAGTCTTGTTTATAATCTGGAACATAGTCTATAATCTAGATTATAGTCGTCTATAGTATGGACTATGGTCTAGTCTTGAACCTAGTCTGCACCATATTTTAGTTTATATTCAGAGCAATAGACTAATCTAAAGGCTGAACTGTATTCCGAACTATAGTCCAGTCAAGAGTCTGGGCTATTGCCTATTCTATTCTGGATTATAGTGTATTCTATAGTCTGGGCAATAGTGTAGTCTATTGCCTGGACTATAGTCTAATATATAGTCTAGAATATAGTCTAATCTATAGTCTGAACAATAAGCTTGTCTATAGTCTGAACTATAAGCTGGTCTATAGTCTGGACTAGTTTATAGTCCGGACTACAGTCTAACCTATAGTCTGGACTATAGTCTAATCTATAGTCTGGACTATAGTCTAATCTATAGTCTGGACTATAGTCTAATCTATAATCTGGACTATAGTCTAATCTATAGTCTGGACTATTGTCTAATCTATAGTCTGGACTATAGTCTAATCTATAGTCTGGACTATAGTCTAATCTATAGTCTGGACTATAGTCTAATCTATAGTCTGGACTATAGTCTAATCTATAGTCTGTACTATAGTCTGATCTCTAGTCTGGACTATAGTCTAATCTATAGTCTGGACTATAAGCTGGTGTACAATCTGGACTATAGATTCCGGCGCTAAAGGAGAACATCGTCGAAGCTATTTAAAGCTTTGAAAGATTTATTCATTATATGGGAATCTTTTTGCCTTTTTTTAAGCAACATCCTCTAAGTAGGACATTAAATATTTTCCATCCAAATTAATTTAAAATATATATATACCAAGTGTACAACTATGCACATTTAATATCATATAAATTATATATAAAAAATGTTTCCACAATCTAAATAATAAATAATATAAAGTGTAAACAAACAAACCTTTAAGAGCACTCCAAGCGGTGCACCACGCAACAGAAGGCAATAAAAAAGTTCCCTGCACTTTGCATGTATATCACGTATAATGACACTTTGGTTATTTAACTGTAATCCTGTAAAATTTCAACGTACATATAAAAAACAACAAAGTGTGGGAATGTGTATTTATTAAAATATAAATTCATGTTAATTAGATGCAATTTAAAAACATTAGCAAAACATCAACATCATTAGTAGTAGTATACAGTTGGAAGACAGAGAAATGCTCAGTCTACCTAATTCATTATACGCCTCAGTTGTCCGTTAAGTATAGAGTAGACAGCAAAATAAAAAAATGTAGGTATATCAAGGGAATATAAATAAAAAAATAAGTAAAAAAAATCCTTAATTAAAAACTTACCCACATAAGCTTCACCACTCTCACAAACATGCGGCAACAATTCGGCAATACAAAATAATAAATTGCAAATATCACATAAATGTAATTGGGCTCGAGCTAGACTTGTGGTAATTTGGGAATAACGTACAGTTAGGACACTTAAGGTTTCATTCAGCATTCCACCAAATATGCGTTGAGCCATTTTGGGTGGTACCGAATTCCATAAATCGTCCTTGGTACCATACATATAAAGCCACCACATTTGTATGCAATACGAACCACGTTCGGATTCAAAAAATGGTTCCGTATCTTCCCAGTGTAAAGCATCGGCGTCTTGGACTATATAGAGCAATAGTAGGCGACAGTGCAAATCTAAGAGACGCTCTGCTAGAGCCTCCGATAATTGAGAATATTGTTTAAGTGATAGCTTCAAAGCTCCTCCCTTTTCATCTCCTTTGGGTGGACAAATTTTGGTAGTTGCCGCTTGTAGATAAACATTTAGGCAGTTCCGTACTAGAGCCGCAGCTCCTATGGTGGCTGTAAGTACTGAGAGATCAGCATGATCGAGAGATTCTTGAGAGAGCACATGCAAATGTTCTAGTAATAAATCGGCCGATTTGGTTACCAAACTAACGAATTTATCGGGATCAGAACTTTTTACCACAACGGAAGACTGGAATGACATTTGAGTAATATTGTTTAGTCTAGACTATAAACTAGATTTCAGCCTCTAAGCTAAATTATAGTCCCTAATATGCACTAAGCTATTCTTCAAGTCTATGACTATACAATAGACAAGACCGTAGTCCAGACTTGACTATAGACTAGACTATAGACTAGACTATAGACTAGACTATAAACTAGACTAGACTAGACTATAGACTAGACTATAGACTAGACTATAGACTAGACTATAGACTAGACTATAGACTAGACTATAGACTAGACTATAGACTAGACTATAGACTAGACTATAGACTAGACTATAGACTAGACTATAGACTAGACTATACTAGACTATAGACTAGACTATAGACTAGACTATAGACTAGACTATAGACTAGACTATAGACTAGACTATAGACTAGACTAGACTATAGACTAGACTATAGACTAGACTATAGACTAGACTATAGACTAGACTATAGACTAGACTATAGACTAGACTATAGACTAGACTATAGACTAGACTATAGAGACTATAGACTACTATAGACTAGACTATAGACTAGACTATAGACTAGACTATAGACTAGACTATAGACTAGACTATAGACTAGACTATAGACTAGACTATAGACTAGACTATAGACTAGACTATAGACTAGACTATAGACTAGACTATAGACTAGACTATAGACTAGACTATAGACTAGACTATAGACTAGACTATAGACTAGACTATAGACTAGACTATAGACTAGACTATAGACTAGACTATAGACTAGACTATAGACTAGACTATAGACTAGACTATAGACTAGACTATAGACTAGACTATAGAGTAGACTATAGAGTAGACTATAGACTAGACTATAGACTAGACTATAGACTAGACTATAGACTAGACTATAGACTAGACTATAGACTAGACTATAGACTAGACTATAGACTAGACTATAGACTAGACTATAGACTAGACTATAGACTAGACTATAGACTAGACTATAGACTAGACTATAGACTAGACTATAGACTAGACTATAGATTAGACTATAGACTAGACTATAGACTAGACTAGACTATAGACTAGACTATAGACTAGACTATAGACTAGACTATAGACTAGACTATAGACTAGACTATAGACTAGACTATAGACTAGACTATAGACTAGACTATAGACTAGACTATAGACTAGACTATAGACTAGACTATAGACTAGACTATAGACTAGACTATAGACTAGACTATAGACTAGACTATAGACTAGACTATAGACTAGACTAGACTATAGACTATAGACTATAGACTAGACTATAGACTAGACTATAGACTAGACTATAGACTAGACTATAGACTAGACTATAGACTAGACTATAGACTAGACTATAGACTAGACTATAGACTAGACTATAGACTAGACTATAGACTAGACTATAGACTAGACTATAGACTAGACTATAGACTAGACTATAGACTAGACTATAGACTAGACTATAGACTAGACTATACTAGACTATAGACTAGACTATAGACTAGACTATAGACTAGACTATAGACTAGACTATAGACTAGACTATAGACTAGACTATAGACTAGACTATAGACTAGACTATAGACTAGACTATAGACTAGACTATAGACTAGACTATAGACTAGACTATAGACTAGACTATAGACTAGACTATAGACTAGACTATAGACTAGACTATAGACTAGACTATAGACTAGACTATAGACTAGACTATAGACTAGACTATAGACTAGACTATAGACTAGACTATAGACTAGACTATAGATTAGACTATAGACTAGACTAGACTAGACTATAGACTAGACTATAGACTAGACTATAGACTAGACTATAGACTAGACTATAGACTAGACTATAGACTAGACTATAGACTAGACTATAGACTAGACTATAGACTAGACTATAGACTAGACTATAGACTAGACTAGACTATAGACTAGACTAGACTATAGACTAGACTAGACTATAGACTAGACTATAGACTAGACTATAGACTAGACTATAGACTAGACTATAGACTAGACTATAGACTAGACTATAGACTAGACTAGACTATAGACTAGACTATAGACTAGACTAGACTATAGACTAGACTATAGACTAGACTATAGACTAGACTATAGACTAGACTAGACTATAGACTAGACTATAGACTAGACTATAGACTAGACTATAGACTAGACTATAGACTAGACTATAGACTAGACTATAGACTAGACTAGACTATAGACTAGACTATAGACTAGACTATAGACTAGACTATAGACTAGACTATAGACTAGACTAGACTATAGACTAGACTATAGACTAGACTATAGACTAGACTATAGACTAGACTATAGACTAGACTATAGACTAGACTATAGACTAGACTATAGACTAGACTATAGACTAGACTATAGACTAGACTATAGACTAGACTATAGACTAGACTATAGACTAGACTATAGACTTGACTATAGACTAGACTATAGACTAGACTAGACTATAGACTAGACTATAGAGACTAGACTATACTAGATACTATAGACTAGACTATAGACTAGACTATAGACTAGACTAGACTATAGACTAGACTATAGACTAGACTATAGACTAGACTATAGACTAGACTATAGACTAGACTATAGACTAGACTAGACTATAGACTAGACTATAGACTAGACTATAGACTAGACTATAGACTAGACTAGACTATAGACTAGACTATAGACTAGACTATAGACTAGACTATAGACTAGACTATAGACTTGACTATAGACTAGACTATAGACTAGACTATAGACTAGACTATAGACTAGACTATAGACTAGACTATAGACTAGACTATAGACTAGACTATAGACTAGACTATAGACTTGACTATAGACTAGACTATAGACTAGACTATAGACTAGACTATAGACTAGACTATAGACTAGACTATAGACTAGACTATAGACTAGACTATAGACTAGACTATAGACTAGACTATAGACTAGACTATAGACTAGACTATAGACTAGACTATAGACAAGACTATAGACTAGACTATAGACTAGACTATAGACTAGACTATAGACTAGACTATAGACTAGACTATAGACTAGACTATAGACTAGACTATAGACTAGACTATAGACTAGACTATAGACTAGACTATAGACTAGACTATAGACTAGACTATAGACTAGACTATAGACTAGACTATAGACTAGACTATAGACTAGACTATAGACTAGACTATAGACTAGACTATAGACTAGACTATAGACTAGACTATAGACTAGACTATAGACTAGACTATAGACTAGACTATAGACTAGACTATAGACTAGACTATAGACTAGACTATAGACTATAGACTAGACTATAGACTAGACTATAGACTAGACTATAGACTAGACTATAGACTAGACTATAGACTAGACTATAGACTAGACTATAGACTAGACTATAGACTAGACTATAGACTAGACTATAGACTAGACTATAGACTAGACTATAGACTAGACTATAGACTAGACTATAGACTAGACTATAGACTAGACTATAGACTAGACTATAGACTAGACTATAGACTAGACTATAGACTAGACTATAGACTAGACTATAGACTAGACTATAGACTAGACTATAGACTAGACTATAGACTAGACTATAGACTAGACTATAGACTAGACTATAGACTAGACTATAGACTAGACTATAGACTAGACTATAGACTAGACTATAGACTAGACTATAGACTAGACTATAGACTAGACTATAGACTAGACTATAGACTAGACTATAGACTAGACTATAGACTAGACTATAGACTAGACTATAGACTAGACTATAGACTAGACTATAGACTAGACTATAGACTAGACTATAGACTAGACTATAGACTAGACTATAGACTAGACTATAGACTAGACTATAGACTAGACTATAGACTAGACTATAGACTAGACTATAGACTAGACTATAGACTAGACTATAGACTAGACTATAGACTAGACTATAGACTAGACTATAGACTAGACTATAGACTAGACTATAGACTAGACTATAGACTAGACTATAGACTAGACTATAGACTAGACTATGGACTAGACTATAGACTAGACTATAGACTAGACTATAGACTAGACTATAGACTAGACTATAGACTAGACTATAGGCTAGACTATAGACTAGACTATTGGCTAGACTATAGACTATACATAGTCTATACTATAGTCTATACTATAGACTAGACTAGACCAGACTATAGACCAGACTATAGACCAGACTATAGACTAGACTATAGACTAGACTATAGAATAGACTATAGAATAGACTATAGAGTAGACTATAGAATAGACTATAGCCTAGACTATAGAATAGACTATAGTTTAGACTGTAGTCTAGTCTATAGGGAAGTGTTAAGAGCGGATTATAGTTTAGTCAATATTCTAGCATATCGTCTGGACTAGGATTTGTCTATAGCATTAATTCTAACCAAACAGTGTTTCCTTAAAATATGTACTCACAAAATCTCCTTCACTCAATTCCTGTTCCGTATGCAATAAACCCGAATGTTTTCTATACGAAGCAAAGTATTCATCCTCCCACCAGAGAATAATTTTAATGGCCGCAAAAGAAGCATAACGAGGAAAATCCAATTTTCCACCCACCACGCCGGGACACAAACGTTCTTGCAGAACTCTTTGATGTGTCTAAGTTATGTAAGAATTAAATTACTTTCGCCTTAAAGAAAAACTTTGTAAGATACACAAACCTGATAATATTGTAAATCCCGTTGCAGTAAAATGGGCACACGGTCCATAAGATTACCCTCTTCCATAACCTCCATTATGAGAGATTTTTTTTTTTGTAGGTTTTTATTTAGTTTGAAAAGAAGTTAGTTTTATGTTGAGAGTAATGTTAAAGTTGCAGTTGTAACTGAAATGTTTCAGTTATCGATTTAACAGGACTGTTGACTAGACTATAGACTAGACTATAGACTAGACTATAGACTAGACTATAGACTAGACTATAGACTAGACTATAGACTAGACTATAGACTAGACTATAGACTAGACTATAGACTAGACTATAGACTAGACTATGGACTAGACTATAGACTAGACTATAGACTAGACTATAGACTAGACTATAGACTAGACTATAGACTAGACTATAGGCTAGACTATAGACTAGACTATTGGCTAGACTATAGACTATACATAGTCTATACTATAGTCTATACTATAGACTAGACTAGACCAGACTATAGACCAGACTATAGACCAGACTATAGACTAGACTATAGACTAGACTATAGAATAGACTATAGAATAGACTATAGAGTAGACTATAGAATAGACTATAGCCTAGACTATAGAATAGACTATAGTTTAGACTGTAGTCTAGTCTATAGGGAAGTGTTAAGAGCGGATTATAGTTTAGTCAATATTCTAGCATATCGTCTGGACTAGGATTTGTCTATAGCATTAATTCTAACCAAACAGTGTTTCCTTAAAATATGTACTCACAAAATCTCCTTCACTCAATTCCTGTTCCGTATGCAATAAACCCGAATGTTTTCTATACGAAGCAAAGTATTCATCCTCCCACCAGAGAATAATTTTAATGGCCGCAAAAGAAGCATAACGAGGAAAATCCAATTTTCCACCCACCACGCCGGGACACAAACGTTCTTGCAGAACTCTTTGATGTGTCTAAGTTATGTAAGAATTAAATTACTTTCGCCTTAAAGAAAAACTTTGTAAGATACACAAACCTGATAATATTGTAAATCCCGTTGCAGTAAATGGGCACACGGTCCATAAGATTACCCTCTTCCATAACCTCCATTATGAGAGATTTTTTTTTTTGTAGGTTTTTATTTAGTTTGAAAAGAAGTTAGTTTTATGTTGAGAGTAATGTTAAAGTTGCAGTTGTAACTGAAATGTTTCAGTTATCGATTTAACAGGACTGTTGGGTTGTTATGGTCGCCAAAACTTTATTGTCTGATATTATTGAAAAACTCGTTGGTGTTTAAATGTTTATAAAGGAGATATCTGCTCGAAACTTTTGTAATTTTGATAAGAAACTGTGGAAAAAGAAAGAAAGAAAGATCTAGATTGATCTAGTGGTAATCGGTTATAGATCGATATAGAGTTTCGATAGAAATCAGAATTTTAGAAATTTCAAACGTACAGTTTTTTATGAAAGATTTTGAAAGAATAATTGATATTAACTTTCAAATTTTTCCTTAATTCTTTCAACCATCCTCGCATAACCTGAAATCCCAGATTTGTTCTTTAAGAAAATCTTACTTATCTTGTCTCTAATTCTATAACTGATAAATTTGTGTAATCTCAAGATATGTAAAGTGCAATATTTTAAACGTCTACACAAATAAAACTCTAATAATACCAAACAAACAATTTCAATACTTCTTATCAGTAAAAAAAATGGGTTGTTGGGTTGTTATGGTACCCAAAACTTTAATGTCTGATATTATTGAAAAACTCGTTTGTGTTTAAATGTTTATAAAGGAGATATTTGGTCGAAACTTGTGTAAGTTTGATAAGAAACTGTGGAAAAAGAAAGAAAGGTCTAGATAGATCTAGTGGCAATAGGTTATAGACCGATATAGAGTTTCGATAGAAATCAGAATTTTAGAAATTTCAAACGTACAGTTTTTTATGAAAGATTTTGAGAGAGTAATTGCTATTAACTTTCAAATTTTTCCTTAATTCTTTCAGCCATCCTCGCATAACCTGAAATCCCAGTTTTGTTCTTTAAGAAAATCTTACTTATCTTGTCTCTAATTCGAAAACTGATAAGTTCGTGTAATCTTAAGATAAGTAAAGTGCAATATTTTAAACGTCTACACAAATAAAACTCTAATAATACCAAACAAACAATTTCAATACTTCTTATCAGTAAAAAAAATGGACAGATTTTTTTTTATATTTCTAAAAAAACTCAAATAAACAATAACAATATGGAAAAAGCCGGTTAAATGATAAGAATAAACGACTGAATGCTTCGTATTAGTTGGGGCATGAAAATACCCCTAGTACAGAAAAGCGAAAGTTGAATTATTAGTTGTTAGCGGGTCTTCGAGCTGAGTGGAAGAATTTTTTGAAAAAGAAACTAAGTTTTTTTTTTTTGTACAACTAAATCTTATCAATTACAAACAAGTGAGTGGTTTATAATTTTTAAAAGTGTGATGGTGGTACCCATTGTTATTTAATTTAAATGACATTTCTGAGTTTTGCGAATAATAGATATATATATGTATATATATATATAAATTTGAAAAGATTTTATTAGTTTATATATATTTATAGAGAACTTTAGATTCAATTAGTATTACGGTTTTAAATCTGTAAATGTGACAAGATTATATTTAACAAAATTTGATAGAAACTGTACAAAAATATTTATATTTTTGACCGATATTAGAATTGAAACGATAATGTCCCAAAATAAAGAAGGATTGGGCTCACTCTCCAATATTAATCCTTTTCTATTTAAAAACATTGCAATTTAGAAACAATTAATCAAAATCAATTAATAAAATTCCCTAAAATAGGGCGCTTTTAACTGCAACACGTTCCACAAGAAACATTTGCTTTCCCACCTTAACTTTCACGATATTTGCCTATAAACTATATTAATTGTTTTCAAATCTATTTTTTTAATATCAGCCACTTTTTTTCCAAATTATCTCTAATTATTTTCACTTCCACAGATATGGTCTGAAATTGTTTACCCAGCTTTATATACCCTTGTTATCGTTTCAATTAAGAGATATTTTTGCTATTTTCGAAAATATTCCATAGAAACCATACGAGTGCTAAATAAACAAATTTGTTTAAATTTTGTTATTGTTTTTTTTTTTTTTTTATAGTGAAAAAAAAAAAATAATAACGCATCTAATCTATGGAAGAGATTTTATTTTATAAGTTCGTAAACATGTTAGCCGGGGTGTTATCGGTTTTCAGTGTGTTATCGCTTGCCATAATCATATTCATGTTTGCACTATCAGAGTCAGTTTGTGTATAAACATGTGTTATGGAAATGGGTGTGTTATAGACGTCGTAAAATGGGATAACCCATTTAGCTTTCTCCAATAACTTTCTGAATGAACTAGTATAGCCTAGAATATAGTTCAGGGCCCAAATTATGGCATACGATATCGATCGAAATCTCCATTTAGACTCTATTGAGATTTCGATCGATATCGTATGCCGTAATTTGGGTCCAGATTATATAGCTAGGCTGCAGTCTAGTCTATTGTGTATAGTTTAGTCTATAGCTAAGTCTATAGCTTAGTCTATAGTCTAGTCTACAGTTGAATCTATAATCTAATCTATAGTCTAACTATAGGCTAACCTACAGTCTAGTCTATAGTCTAATCTATAGTCTAGTCTATAGTCTAGTCTATAGTCTAGTCTATAGTCTAGTCTATAGTCTAGTCTATAGTCTAGTCTACAGTCTAGTCTAGTCTAGTCTAGTCTAGTCTATAGTCTATAGTCTAGTCTATAGTCTAGTCTATAGTCTAGTCTATAGTCTAGTCTATAGTCTAGTCTATAGTCTAGTCTATAGTCTAGTCTATAGTCTAGTCTATAGTCTAGTCTATAGTCTAGTCTATAGTCTAGTCTATAGTCTAGTCTATAGTCTAGTCTATAGTCTAGTCTATAGTCTAGTCTATAGTCTAGTCTATAGTCTAGTCTATAGTCTAGTCTATAGTCTAGTCTATAGTCTAGTCTATAGTCTAGTCTATAGTCTAGTCTATAGTCTAGTCTATAGTCTAGTCTATAGTCTAGTCTATAGTCTAGTCTATAGTCTAGTCTATAGTCTAGTCTATAGTCTAGTCTATAGTCTAGTCTATAGTCTAGTCTATAGTCTAGTCTATAGTCTAGTCTATAGTCTAGTCTATAGTCTAGTCTATAGTCTAGTCTATAGTCTAGTCTATAGTCTAGTCTATAGTCTAGTCTATAGTCTAGTCTATAGTCTAGTCTATAGTCTAGTCTATAGTCTAGTCTATAGTCTAGTCTATAGTTTAGTCTATAGTTTAGTCTATAGTCTAGTCTATAGTCTAGTCTATAGTCTAGTCTATAGTCTAGTCTATAGTCTAGTCTATAGTTTAGTCTATAGTCTAGTCCATAGTCTAGTCTATAGTCTATAGTCTAGTCTATAGTCTAGTCTATAGTCTAGTCTATAGTCTAGTCTATAGTCTAGTCTATAGTCTAGTCTATAGTCTAGTCAATAGTCTAGTCAATAGTCTAGTCTATAGTCTAGTCTATAGTCTAGTCTATAGTCTAGTCTATAGTCTAGTCTATAGTCTAGTCTATAGTCTAGTCTATAGTCTAGTCTATAGTCTAGTCTATAGTCTAGTCTATAGTCTAGTCTATAGTCTAGTCTATAGTCTAGTCTATAGTCTAGTCTATAGTCTAGTCTATAGTCTAGTCTATAGTCTAGTCTATAGTCTAGTCTAGTCTACTGTAGTCTAGGCTATAGTCTAGTCTATAGTCTAGTCAATAGTCTAGTCAATAGTCTAGTCAATAGTCTAGTCAATAGTCTAGTCTATAGTCTAGTCTATAGTTTAGTCAATAGTCTAGTCTATAGTCTAGTCTATAGTCTAGTCTATAGTCTAGTCTATAGTCTAGTCAATAGTCTAGTCAATAGTCTAGTCTATAGACTAGTCTATAGTCTAGTCTATAGTCTAGTCTATAGTCTAGTCTATAGTCTAGTCTATAGTTTAGTCTATAGTCTAGTCTATAGTCTAGTTTATAGTCAAGTCTATAGTCTAGTCTATAGTCTAGTCTATAGTCTAGTCAATAGTCTAGTCTATAGTCTAGTCAATAGTCTAGTCAATAGTCTAGTCTATAGTCTAGTCTATAGTCTAGTCTATAGTCTAGTCTACAGTCTAGTCTATAGTCTAGTCTATAGTCTAGTCTATAGTCTAGTCTATAGTCTAGTCTATAGTCTAGTCTATAGTAGTCTAGTCTAGTCTAGTCTATAGTCTAGTCTATAATCTAGTCTATAATCTAGTATATAGTCTAGTCTATAGACTATAGTCTAGTCTATAGGCTAGTCTATAGTCTAGTCTATAGGCTAGTCTGTAGACTATAGACCAGTCTATAGTCTAGTCTATCGTCTAGTCTATAGTCTAGTCTATAGTCAAGTTTCGATAATAGTCTACACTAAAAATAGATTCAATACAGTTGCCTTATTTGTCTAACAATCCTCTTCTCGCTCCCATTACTTACAGAATGGCTCAACTCTGTCGTGCTGTTGGTATTCTTAAGAATCTTCCCCTCCAACAAACTCAAAAAATTGCTGCCTTACATCTTAGCTCCGCCGTAAGAGCCAGCAACTATTTGATTGATACACCCGAGTATTCGTTCTTAAAGGATATTGGTTTGGAACGTGAAAATCCTGGTGTATTCACTGGTTCCTGGAAGGGTTCAGGAGATGTAGTCACCTCTGTGGATCCCGGTACCGGTAAACCTATTGCCGCAGTACGCACTGGTACCGTCCAAGAAATGGAAGAATCCATTAAGGCTGGTGTTGAGGCCTACAAGGAATGGTGTCAAGTACCCGCCCCAGTTAGAGGTGAAATCGTCAGACAGATAGGTGATGAATTGCGTAAATATAAGGAACCTTTGGGTAAATTAGTAAGTTTGGAAGTGGGTAAAATCTACAGTGAGGGTCAAGGTGAAGTGCAAGAGTTCATTGATATCTGTGATTATGCTGTGGGTTTGTCGCGTATCTATGCTGGACAAATGATCAATTCGGAAAGAGCTCAGCATACTATTTTGGAGGCCTGGCGTCCTTTGGGTTTGGTGGGTGTTATCTCTGCCTATAACTTCCCCAATGCTGTATTCGGCTGGAATGCAGCTATTGCTTTGGTGAGTTTGTATTTATAATAAAATTTACCGCAAATATTTATTTTTATTTTTCTTTAAAGACCTGCGGTAACAGCGTTTTATGGAAGGGAGCCCCCAGCACTGCTTTGGTATCTGTGGCCACCACCAAAATTGTAGCCGATGTCTTGAAACGCAACAATTTGCCACCCATTACCACTTTGTGCCAGGGCGGCACTGATGTAGGCAAAAAATTAGTCTCCGACAACCGTGTTAAATTGGTTTCCTTTACCGGAAGTTGCCAAACTGGCCGTGATGTGGGTGTTGAAGTGCAAAAACGTTTCGGCAAAGTTATTTTGGAATTGGGCGGCAACAATGCCTTGGTTATCAATGAAGATGCTAACCTTAAAATGGCCTTAGATGCTGCTTTATTCGGTTGCATTGGTACCTCGGGTCAACGTTGCACCACCACTAGACGTATTATTGTGCACGAGAAACTTTATGATACTTTTGTTAAAGAACTTACCGGCAAATATCAACAAGTTTTATCCCGCATTGGTCATCAATTGGATGCCAACACTTTGGTGGGCCCAGTACATTCTCAACAGAATATTGATGGTTATAAAAACACCATTGAGGAGGCTGTTAAATTGGGTGGCAAGGTGGCTTTTGGTGGTAAAGTTTTACCTCGTGAAGGTTTCTTTGTAGAACCCACCATTATCACTGGTTTGGCTCATGATGCTCCCGTTGTACACCGTGAAACTTTCGCTCCTATTGTTTATGTCTTGAAAACTAAGTCAGTTGAAGAGGCTATACAATGGAACAATGAAGTTGAACAGGGTCTTTCCTCTGCCATTTTCACCGAAAACATGTCCAAGGCCTTTAAATGGATTGGTGCTCAGGGTTCCGACTGCGGTATTGTCAACATTAATACCACTACTAATGGTGCTGAAATTGGTGGTGCTTTCGGCGGTGAAAAACATACCGGCGGTGGCCGCGAATCTGGCTCTGATGCCTGGAAACAATACTGCAAGAGAGCCACCATCACTGTCAATCATTCCGGCGAATTGGCTTGTGCCCAAGGTGTTGTCTTCAATGTAGAGTAATTCATAAGTTTAAGGTTTTCTTGTTTTAAGTTTTAAACAGATTTTATTTAGCTTTGTTTTAAATGCATTCTTTATAGGTTTTTAATTTTTATGTTTTTTGTAAATTTTTAAAATAAATTTTCTTTTTCTGGAATTATATTTAGTTGTAGAGACTTTTTCTATATAACAAAATTACAGCTAGATTTCCTTATCGGTTACATCGAAACGCCAAAAATCAACTTCAATATCTACAGATTTGTTTTTATGAAATTTATAGCTGGCTTCAATGTTATATTTAAGTTCGGCAACGACTTGTCCCTTGACATTCCATTCTTTGGATTTTTTAAGTATGTAGTCCCTGGAAGAGAGAGAGAATGAAAGAAAATTTGCAGCTTAAGATCATACACATCAAATGTTAATTGGTATTTTATTAATACTAAATACCAGAGTCCTATTCTAGGAGCTTAAATTCCATTTTGTTCTAAAATCCCTTTAAAGTATTGGAAACCTCTAAGTTCAATTTTCAATTCATTGTCTATCAATTCATTGTCTGCAATTTTCCTGTTCATTGCCTATCTAGATTTGCAGTGGAAGTAAGTAAGGATTGCAAGAGTGCCAGTACTGAGAAATCGAAGTTTGTCTTTTGCAATTGTTTAAGTTAAAATTGATTTAACTACCTTTTTGAAATACTATTTATAACAACGTTAGAATCCTATAAAGCTTCCCTTTTTTTGCAACTTTGTTGGAATATTCTAACGAGTAACCGCTAACGGTGCTTAAATATTGTTTGCCACCAAATTTATGCTTGTTTCGTTTGACATTATAAAACACTTTTGATTTGTCTACGACACAAGCACTACGTGCAATTACATTTACAAAACCATCTACTTCTACGAGGTAATATTTTGGTTTAAATAAAAAGAGATCTTCATCTCTAATAAATTTGAAATATACATTTGTTTTATTTTTATATAAAATCTTGGGAATCTTGTTGGAGCTGAACATTTGGTCCTAGCGAACCGGATTTCTTAGATCATTTATCGGATTTTTTGGATCTTTATATCAGTACCGGATCTTCTTTGGCACCTTCAACTCCATTCCTATAATACAGTCCACCGGAGATATATTTATCATTTATTTATTTCTACGAAATAAGGTACGTAAATATATTTCATTTGTGAGCAAGTGATAAAATTCGTTTGTTTTGTTTCGCGAACATATACACACATTTCTTTTGTGAATTTTTGTTTTATTTTTTTTTTAATTTGTGGATACATCTCACTAATTCGAACTCTAATTTATATTAAAAATTTTTTAATTTATTTTTGATCCTACGGACAATATATTAAATTAAAGTAAATTTTATTAAAATTTTATTACAAAAATCAGTGGTTTTTACATTTTCTTTTGTGCGTTATTTGTTTACAGATTTAGATCTGTAAATTAAAACAATAAAATACATAAACGGTTGATTCTTCTTCTACCTTTATATTAGTCACCCTACGCTCGGCCAGTTTGACTATTATCACATTTGTTTATATACATTTTGTAGTCAAGTAGTATTATTAATTTATTTATTTTAAACGACTTTTCAAATATTAAAAAATGTCGGTTTCGCCACTAAACTCGTTTATTAGAGCATCGGATGCTCTTATTGCATTCGGGGCTATGTTTAGTAATTTTGACGAAGAAATTCATACGGTTTATACTTTGGAGATTCAGAGTCAAGAGTTAAAAACACTTTGGGGTAAAGTTAAGACGACGTATAATGAATGTCTTAACTCTTTAGAGGCCGAAGAATTTGATGTGGCAGCGGCTAAATATAAAGCTACCTACACAGCGTATATCCAATGCGGAGGATCTATCCATGAAAAAATAGATGAATTCAAATCTGCTTTGAAAAGCAATGAATCTCCAACGGTAAATTCGAACTCCGGTAATACAGATCATAATCTAGCACTACCTCCTTGTGATATTGATTCATTCAGAGGTGATTATGTTTCTTGGCCCGCTTTTAGGGATTTATTTACCGCAATTTTTATTAATAGCTCGCGGCTTAGCAATATAGAACGGCTTTGCCATTTAATAAGAAAAACCGAGGGTGAAGCAAAAGAAATCGTTTCTAAATATCCACTTGTTAACGCAAGTTTTGAAGTAGCCTGGCGCGATTTGAAGGAAGCATATGAGAATCCTCGTATGTTGGTACATAACCAACTAAAAGTTATTTTTGGCCTTCCTTTCCTTGACAAGGAATCGATAACAGCACTCAAAACACTACAACGCGGAATTAATAGTTGCCTTTCGGCTCTTTCTATTTATAAAGTGCCTACGGATAATTGGGATCCAATTATAATTTTTATGTGTATTCAACGTCTGCCTAGATCTACAGTTATTTTGTGGGAACAGGGTGTTAAAAACAAAACTGTTTTGTCTACATGGAAAGATTTCGATAACTTTCTGACAGAAAGAATTCAGACATTGCAATGTCTTCAAGATCTTAAAGGTACGAACTCGACTGACGTCGACTCTTCAGTGCATTCAAATAGTTCTACTATTACTAAACCTTCATGTATCTTATGCCCTAATCAGTCACACTATTTGCGAAATTGTCGTCGATTTAAAAATCTTTCAGTATCTGACAGAATTTCTACTGTGAATGATTATAACTGCTGTACTAATTGCCTTTCGAGGACACATAAAGTCAGAAGTTGTACAATCAACAATAACTGTTTTATTTGCAATAATCGACATCATTCTATGCTTCATCTGCAGCATACAGATAATTCTATAGTTGAAGGACCTACTGTTTCTACTGAACAGAATTCCAGTGAGGTTCTACGACCCACTAACTCTCACACTCGACAATCGCATACGTCCAATAATGTTACTTCTAATCCACAAGTATTTCATACTAGACAGAATCAGTCCGTTTTGTTAGGGACTGCAATGGTAAACATAATTCATAACAGCCATAAGTATCAGGTCCGCGCTTTAATAGATTCGGGTTCAGAATGTTCTTTCATTTCTGAACGTTTACGAAAAAGATTAAAACTTCCCACTCATTCTTCGAATTCTAACGTTTCTGGCGTTAATAATGTGGTTTTTGGAGTTTCAAAGTTTTGTCCTTTGGAAATTAGTTCAGATTTAGATTCTTCAATAAAACTATCAACTAACGCATTTGTTTTACCAGAAATAACAGGAAATTTGCCTTCGACTTCTGTAAATGTCGATATTGGAAAATTATTGCCAAATCTTTGTTTGGCTGATTCGAATCTTTTTACCAGTAGGCCTGTAGATATTCTTATCGGAGCAGATTTATATCCGCGCATTATTTTACCGGAAATACAACAAAACGTATTAGGGTCATTATTGGCACAGAAAACTATATTTGGCTGGATACTGACAGGTCCAGCTAATCCTAGGCATTTTGAAACATATATCGACAATTTAACGTATTCTACGTGGTCTAACGCTTGTTAACCTTTAATTTATTATCACTTTAAAATGCTCACAGAAATATATTTATGTTCCTACTACCTTATTTATGTTTTTATCTTATTATTTATTATCTTTATATATATTATATTACTTATATTAAATAATAATCCACCTGCAGGACTTCGGTGCTGTGGGAAAAGTCGAGAGACTTTCCAAAAATCCACCTGCGGGACTTCGGTTCTGTGGGGAAAGTCGAGAGACTTCTTAAAAATCCACCTGCGGGACTACGGTTCTGTGGGGAAAGTCGAGAGACTTCTTAAAAATCCACCTGCGGGACTTCGGTTCTGTGGGGAAAGTCGAGAGACTTCTTAAAAATCCACCTTCGGGACTTAGGTTCTGTGGGGAAAGTCGAGAGACTTCTTAAAAATCTACATTGTTTTAAAATCGTTTGCAATTCCTAAGGTATTGCAAGGTGGCCGGCAATGTTTAAGTTAAAATTGATTTAACTACCTTTTTGAAATACTATTTATAACAACGTTAGAATCCTATAAAGCTTCCCTTTTTTTGCAACTTTGTTGGAATATTCTAACGAGTAACCGCTAACGGTGCTTAAATATTGTTTGCCACCAAATTTATGCTTGTTTCGTTTGACATTATAAAACACTTTTGATTTGTCTACGACACAAGCACTACGTGCAATTACATTTACAAAACCATCTACTTCTACGAGGTAATATTTTGGTTTAAATAAAAAGAGATCTTCATCTCTAATAAATTTGAAATATACATTTGTTTTATTTTTATATAAAATCTTGGGAATCTTGTTGGAGCTGAACAGCAATGATCTTCCAATCAAAAGCAATCTGATCGATACTTAAGGAGTTTTTAGAAGTGATAGTACAGAGGCTTGTAATATCTATAGTCCTTACGCAGGCACATAGTATTTTTTACAAATTCAAAGGGACTTTTATTACCACAATAAACAATATTAAAACACTTAGAACAGTTTCATCCTTGGATCATTCCGATCAATATTTACGGGGTTATTATAAGTTTGTTTGCTACGTCATACAGTTTTGATCTTCATAAATCGTTCCTACTTTTCTAGGACAACATTTCTCTCAGTTATCTTCCTACAAGTTTTCCTAATGATGACTTCTTAACATTTAGCTTACCTAGTTGAAGTTTTATGTAATGAGTATACAGCCGTAGTGGCCAAATGCATGCCAGTTTCTATGAAACGCATATCCATGCCAACATTATTTTTCGTACCAAATGGTGGATTAGTCACAACAGTATCAAAACAATTTTCCCATTTAGTGCCGGGCAATTGTAAAACATTTGCCTGTACACAATCTATAGCGGGCAGTTCCATTTCCGAAACATTATAACGAAAAACCTAAAGAAATATTACTTAAATAGAATGGATATTAAACAAATCAAAAGGTCTACTTACATCTATAGCATCCGGATCCAATTCAAAGCCTACCGTCAGTTGAGCACCCAAAAGAAATGAACCTATGCTTAACATGCCACAGCCAGCACCAAGATCTCCCACTAATTTACCTTCCAAGTCCTCAAATTGAGCCTGCAATACATACAAATTTATTTTTTCCATACTTAAATTAAAAACAAGAAAACTTACTTGTATATTATATAAAACACAGCTAGCTATATGTGGCGGTGTAGGATATTGTTCCAATTTTATTTTGGGCTTCTCAAAACCATCTACTCCCGACAAATATTCCTCCAATTTTTTCATCCTCATACGAGCCATTTTTGAAAATTTACACACTACTTTAGAATAATTAGAAGAAAATTGTAAAGATGTTTTTTGCAGTTAACCCTATTTAGCGGTATGATTGGCAGGTACGGGATCCAAACGGGGTAAGACCGGTATGAAGGAGTTGCCGTAATGCGAGTCCTGGCTAATAAAATAGCCCAATGTGGTGGCACTTGTAGGATTAAAGACTGAGCGTGGCACTGTTATGGCACTGCTGGTCTGCGGAAAATCCGTTGGTTGACCCAACAACTGTGTAGTGGGCATCTAGTATATGTAGAGTCTGTTATTGATTTCTCAATGGGGCAGCATTAGCAAAATAATCTTACCTGGTTGAGAGGTGTAGAGAGACCGGTACCTAGATTAATATCCGCCACTGGATTAACGCCTTTTTGTAAAAGTTGTCGTTTTAATTGTAAATCTTCCAGAATTTTACGATTTGTTTCTAGGGTAGAATACATATTTCAGTGAAATTTTGTTATAAACAATTTTATTTTAATAATTTTTTACCTTGTTGTGCTCCTAGTGTAGGAAAAGCCATCAAATATATGTTTAGCACAAATAAATTAACAAAAAACTATAAATAAAATGATTTTTAGTTAAAAGTCACAGCAAACTTACAAAAACACGCGTACTTTTTGACAAGATAATATTAATCAAGGTATATTCATTATAAGGTAGTGTTAACAGAACAGCTGATTGTTTTCTGTTAATACTTTACTCTGTAAACACTTCAGACTTTTTTACATGTAGTTTGACAACGTGCTGGCACTTTTAAGTGTAGTCATACTGTCAAACTCTATATAAACAAATTAAAATAAATAAGCTCGGTTTTTCCGAATACGCCGACGACGAATATATATTGATTTGTAGTTATTTGACGAAATTTTGTTAAAAATAAGAATTTTCGAAAACATTCTATAAAAATAGGCTATTTCCAAAATATGCTATAAAAATAGGAAATTTCGAAAATATGCTATAAAAATTGGAAATTTTGAAAATGTTATAAAAGTCGGGCAATATCGAAATTATGCCTAAAAATGGCAAATTTCGAATATATGCTATTAAAATAGGAAATTTCGAAAATATTTTATAAAAATAGGAAATTTTGAAAACATGCTATAAAAATAGGAAATTTCGAAAATATGCTATAAAAATAGGAAATTTCGAAAATATGCTATAAAAATAGGAAATTTCGAAAATATGCTATAAAAACAGGAAATTTCGAAAATATGCTATAAAAATAGGAAATTTCGAAAATATGCTATGAAAATAGGAAATTTTGAAAATATGCTACAAAAATAGGAAATTTCGAAAATATGCTATAAAAATAGGAAATTTCGAAAATATGCTAAAAAAATAAGAAATTTCGAAAATATGCTATAAAAATAGGAAATTTCAAAAATATGCTATAAAAATAGGAAATTTCGAAAATATGCTATAAAAATAGGAAATTTCGAAAATATGCTATAAAAATAAGAAATTTCGAAAATATGCTATAAAAATAGGAAATTTCGAAAATGTGCTATAAAAATAGGAAATTTCGAAAATGTGCTATAAAAATAGGAAATTTCGAAAATATGCTATAAAAATAGGAAATTTCGAAAATATGCTATAAAAATAAGAAATTTCGAAAATATGCTATAAAAATAGGAAATTTCGAAAATGTGCTATAAAAATAGGAAATTTCGAAAATGTGCTATAAAAATAGGAAATTTCGAAAATATGCTATAAAAATAGGAAATTTCGAAAATATGCTATAAAAATAGGAAATTTCGAAAATATGCTATAAAAATAGGAAATTTCGAAAATTTTCTATAAAACAGGAAATTTCGAAAATTTTCTATAAAATAGGAAATTTCGAAAATATGCTATAAAAATAGGAAATTTCGAAAATTTTCTATAAAAATAGGATATTTCGAAAATTTTCTATAAAAATAGGAAATTTCGAAAATTTGCTATAAAAATAGGAAATTTCGAAAATTTGCTATAAAAATAGGAAATTTCGAAAATTTTCTATAAAAATAGGAAATTTCGAAAATTTTCTATAAAAATAGGAAATTTCGAAAATTTTCTATAAAAATAGGAAATTTCGAAAATTTTCTATAAAAATAGGAAATTTCGAAAATTTTCTATAAAAATAGGAAATTTCGAAAATTTTCTATAAAAATAGGAAATTTCGAAAATTTTCTATAAAAATAGGAAATTTCGAAAATTTTCTATAAAAATAGGAAATTTCGAAAATTTTCTATAAAAATAGGAAATTTCGAAAATTTTCTATAAAAATAGGAAATTTCGAAAATTTTCTATAAAAATAGGAAATTTCGAAAATTTTCTATAAAAATAGGAAATTTCGAAAATTTTCTATGAAAATAGGAAATTTCGAAAATATGCTATAAAAATAGGAAATTTCGAAAATATGTTATAAAAATAGGAAATTTCGAAAATATGCTATAAAAATAGGAAATTTCGAAAATATGCTATAAAAATAGGAAATTTCGAAAATTTTCTATAAAAATAGGAAATTTCGAAAATTTTCTATAAAAATAGGAAATTTCGAAAATTTTCTATAAAAATAGGAAATTTCGAAAATTTTCTATAAAAATAGGAAATTTCGAAAATTTTCTATAAAAATAGGAAATTTCGAAAATTTTCTATAAAAATAGGAAATTTCGAAAATTTTCTATAAAAATAGGAAATTTCGAAAATTTTCTATAAAAATAGGAAATTTCGAAAATTTTCTATAAAAATAGGAAATTTCGAAAATTTTCTATAAAAATAGGAAATTTCGAAAATTTTCTATAAAAATAGGAAATTTCGAAAATTTTCTATAAAAATAGGAAATTTCGAAAATTTTCTATGAAAATAGGAAATTTCGAAAATATGCTATAAAAATAGGAAATTTCGAAAATATGTTATAAAAATAGGAAATTTCGAAAATATGCTATAAAAATAGGAAATTTCGAAAATATGCTATAAAAATAGGAAATTTCGAAAATATGCTATAAAAATAGGAAATTTCGAAAATATGCTATAAAAATAGGAAATTTCGAAAATATGCTATAAAAATAGGAAATTTCGAAAATATGCTATAAAAATAGGAAATTTCGAAAATTTTCTATAAAAATAGGAAATTTCGAAAATTTTCTATAAAAATAGGAAATTTCGAAAATTTTCTATAAAAATAGGAAATTTCGAAAATTTTCTACAAAAATAGGAAATTTCGAAAATTTTCTATAAAAATAGGAAATTTCGAAAATTTTCTATAAAAATAGGAAATTTCGAAAATTTTCTATAAAAATAGGAAATTTCGAAAATTTTCTATAAAAATAGGAAATTTCGAAAATTTTCTATAAAAATAGGAAATTTCGAAAATTTTCTATAAAAATAGGAAATTTCGAAATTTTCTATAAAACAGGAAATTTCGAAAATTTTCTATAAAATAGGAAATTTCGAAAATATGCTATAAAAATAGGAAATTTCGAAAATTTTCTATAAAAATAGGATATTTCGAAAATTTTCTATAAAAATAGGAAATTTCGAAAATTTGCTATAAAAATAGGAAATTTCGAAAATTTTCTATAAAAATAGGAAATTTCGAAAATTTTCTATAAAAATAGGAAATTTCGAAAATTTTCTATAAAAATAGGAAATTTCGAAAATTTTCTATAAAAATAGGAAATTTCGAAAATTTTCTATAAAAATAGGAAATTTCGAAAATTTTCTATAAAAATAGGAAATTTCGAAAATTTTCTATAAAAATAGGAAATTTCGAAAATTTTCTATAAAAATAGGAAATTTCGAAAATTTTCTATAAAAATAGGAAATTTCGAAAATTTTCTATAAAAATAGGAAATTTCGAAAATTTTCTATAAAAATAGGAAATTTCGAAAATTTTCTATGAAAATAGGAAATTTCGAAAATATGCTATAAAAATAGGAAATTTCGAAAATATGTTATAAAAATAGGAAATTTCGAAAATATGCTATAAAAATAGGAAATTTCGAAAATATGCTATAAAAATAGGAAATTTCGAAAATTTTCTATAAAAATAGGAAATTTCGAAAATTTTCTATAAAATAGGAAATTTCGAAAATTTTCTATAAAAATAGGAAATTTCGAAAATTTTCTATAAAAATAGGAAATTTCGAAAATTTTCTATAAAAATAGGAAATTTCGAAAATTTTCTATAAAAATAGGAAATTTCGAAAATTTTCTATAAAAATAGGAAATTTCGAAAATTTTCTATAAAAATAGGAAATTTCGAAAATTTTCTATAAAAATAGGAAATTTCGAAAATTTTCTATAAAAATAGGAAATTTCGAAAATTTTCTATAAAAATAGGAAATTTCGAAAATTTTCTATAAAAATAGGAAATTTCGAAAATTTTCTATGAAAATAGGAAATTTCGAAAATATGCTATAAAAATAGGAAATTTCGAAAATATGTTATAAAAATAGGAAATTTCGAAAATATGCTATAAAAATAGGAAATTTCGAAAATATGCTATAAAAATAGGAAATTTCGAAAATATGCTATAAAAATAGGAAATTTCGAAAATATGCTATAAAAATAGGAAATTTCGAAAATATGCTATAAAAATAGGAAATTTCGAAAATATGCTATAAAAATAGGAAATTTCGAAAATTTTCTATAAAAATAGGAAATTTCGAAAATTTTCTATAAAAATAGGAAATTTCGAAAATTTTCTACAAAAATAGGAAATTTCGAAAATTTTCTATAAAAATAGGAAATTTCGAAAATTTTCTATAAAAATAGGAAATTTCGAAAATTTTCTATAAAAATAGGAAATTTCGAAAATTTTCTATAAAAATAGGAAATTTCGAAAATTTTCTATAAAAATAGGAAATTTCGAAAATTTTCTATAAAAATAGGAAATTTCGAAAATTTTCTATAAAAATAGGAAATTTCGAAAATTTTCTATAAAATAGGAAATTTCGAAAATTTTCTATAAAAATAGGAAATTTCGAAAATTTTCTATAAAAATAGGAAATTTCGAAAATTTTCTATAAAAATAGGAAATTTCGAAAATTTTCTATAAAAATAGGAAATTTCGAAAATTTTCTATAAAAATAGGAAATTTCGAAAATTTTCTATAAAAATAGGAAATTTCGAAAATTTTCTATAAAAATAGGAAATTTCGAAAATTTTCTATAAAAATAGGAAATTTCGAAAATTTTCTATAAAAATAGGAAATTTCGAAAATTTTCTATAAAAATAGGAAATTTCGAAAATTTTCTATAAAAATAGGAAATTTCGAAAATTTTTTATAAAAATAGGAAATTTCGAAAATTTTCTATAAAAATAGGAAATTTTGAAAATTTTCTATTCTATAAAATAGGAAATTTTGAAAATTTTCTATAAAAATAGGAAATTTTGAAAATTTTCTATAAAAATAGGAAATTTTGAAAATTTTCTATAAAAATAGGAAATTTTGAAAATTTTCTAAAAAATAAAATTTTGAAATTTTAGAAATTTTCTATTAATAATAAAAATTTACAAAAATTTTCTATAAAGGAGATATTTTCAAATACATATATTTTCTAAAAAATAGATATTTTTTAAAAATATTTATAAAAATATATATTTTCTAAAACTTTCTTTAAAAAAATATACATTTTTTATAGAATATAAGTTTTCGAAAATTTTTATATAAAAGAAGAGAAATTTCAAAAG